TGGTACAATGTCCCAAGATATTTCTATGTTATCAGAACAGAACAGGATATCTTTCTTTATGCATCAGCCTTTGACTCTGAGTTTTAGGATTGAGATGACTATATGCATTTCATATAGTCATAATTAAGCATTAAATTGGTGCTTACTAGCTATCCAAACAATAATACAACTTCATTTTTTCAACAAACAAATAATAATGCAACGAAAAGTATAATTGTATGAGGACTTCTTTTACATAAATTGAAATGAATGACCAAATACTACAATTAAGAGAGTTTATTTTATGATGATGTGGATAATATGATCCATTGTGATTATTAAATCATTTGTTTCTCCAATTTTAAAATAAGTTTTTGACAAGACTCTAAATCGGTAGGGATTTGTCACACAGTCGGTGTGGGGGGACATATAAGAGGAGGTGGATTTGGTACCTTGTTCAGGAAGTATGGTCTCGCAACTGACAATGTCCTTGATGCTAAGATAGTATTTGTTCTAGGTGCAGACTTTAGTATTTGTTCTAGGTGTGTATGTATATTGACTAGAAACGAGACATGAATGTGCAAGGCTTTAACAGTTGTACAAATTGTTAAAGTGTCATTCGATTCATTGTTTCTAGGACCGTTTGAGAAGCTTCTCCTTTTGATGCAAGACAAGCTCCTGGAATTAAGTTTAGACCGCAGCAATTGCACTGAAATGAGTTGGATCCAGTCTGCGATGCACTTTGCTGGCTTCCCAATAAGCGAATCCCTGGAAGTTTTGCTGAAGAGGACTCAGCCATCTAGGAGCTTCTTCAAAGCAATATGTTTCTCAGTTTCCTTGTCATCCATCTAATATTTTTCTCAGTTTCCGTGTTGGTCAGTTTAGGAGACTTGTTCATATTAAGACCTCAGTTGATCCTGGTAACTTCTTTAGAAATGAACAAAGCATCCCTGTTTTACCATCGGAGCAGGAAGAGGGTGTAAATAATAAAATAGTTGGGTTTGGCCATATTCAACACTTCTCCAGAAGCTTAGACCATATTCCATCACTGTCGAAGCATCAAAGAATATATCAGTGCTATTTTCTATGTGCGGATGCAGAAAATAGAGAAATATTATTTAATTGGTGACAACTTCATAGATGATATGATTCACATTGCAAACATTATTTAATTGTTTGCATCTTCAACATTTAGACAAGTGTTTATGAAGAAACTTGTTTCTTTTGTCAACGTTTTTGAAAAGTCTAAAAATACTGCACAATTTTTTTTTTTCAGTCTCTTGCGTATGCTTCTATCTTTTCAATTATTGAAAAATTATTTATGGCTATCCAATGGCTGCATTTTTCTTTCAACTCAAACTACTTATATAAGTGAGCTCAGAGCTCATACCATTCCACATGCACAGAAAAATGGAGATCTCTCACGTAAAACTAGTTCCAGTCCTACTTTTCATCCTTCTCAATTCAGTTTGGTGCACAACTTCAAACTCAATTTCTGAAAGCTTTCTTCAATGTTTTTCCTCCCACATACATTCTAACTCAAGCAGCAAAATTATTCTCACCAAACACAGTTCTGCTTATTCCTCAGTCTTGCAATCTTCCATACAGAATCTCAGATTCTTGAACACTTCAACACCAAAACCAGAAGCTATCATTACTCCTTTTAAACACTCTCATGTTCAAGCAGCTGTAATTTGTTCCAAGAAAGAGGGCATACAAATAAGAACCCGAAGCGGGGGGCATGACTACGAGGGCCTATCTTATGTATCAACAACTCCTTTCATCATGATTGATCTTTTCGAACTTCGGTCCATTGATATTGACATAGAGAATGAGATCGCTTGGGTCGAGTCTGGTGCTACTCTCGGGGAGTTGTATTACGCAATTGCACAAAAGAGTAAAGTCTATGGCTTTCCAGCAGGGATTTGTCCAACCATTGGTGTGGGGGGACATATTAGTGGAGGTGGATTTGGTTCCTTGTTCAGGAAGTATGGTCTGGCAGCTGACAATGTCCTTGATGCTAAGATTGTCGACGTTAATGGCATAGTTCTTGACAGAAAATCCATGGGAGAAGAACTCTTTTGGGCTATTAGAGGAGGGGGTGGCTCAAGCTTTGGAGTCATTCTATCATGGAAACTTAGGTTGGTTCCGGTTCCTCCATCTGTAACAGGTTACATGGAATCAAAGACCATAGAACAAGGTGCAACCAAACTTGTTTCTAAATGGCAAGCAATAGCAGATAGGATTCCTGAAGGGAATTTCCTGCGTTTGGTTTTACAAGTTGCAAATGGTACAAACGGTGGAAAAACTATTCAAGTTGTATTCAATTTCTTGTTTCTTGAGACTTACGAGGAACTTCTTCCTTGGATGAAAGAAAACTTCCCAGAGTTAAATTTAGACCAGACTGCATTCACTGAAATGAGTTGGATTGAGTCTGTTCTATTTTTGGCTAACTTCCCAATAAATGAAACAGAAGTTCTGCTTCAGCGGACTCAACAATCTAGGAGCTTCTTCAAAGCAAAATCAGACTACGTGACAGAACCAATTTCAGAAGCTTGCTTGGAAGGTTTATATCAGAGAATGCTTCAGCTAGACACATCCATGTTGATACTGTCACCTTTTGGCGGAAGAATGAGTGAGATTTCCGAATCAGAAATTCCTTTCCCACATAGAAAAGGAAACCTATATGAAATCCAGTATTATGTCACTTGGGATGATGACAAAGAAACTGAGAAACATATTAGCTGGACAAGAATGGTGTATGGCTACATGGCAGCATATGTTTCCAAGTCCCCAAGAGCTGCCTATTTGAACTACAGGGATCTTGACTTGGGGATAAACAAGGATGCTAACACAAGCTATGCACAAGAAAGCATTTGGGGTTTGAGCTACTTCAAGAGTAACTTCAGGAGACTTGCTCAAGTGAAGACCTTAGTTGATCCTGGTAACTTCTTTAGAAATGAACAAAGCATCCCTGTGTTACCATCTGGGGAAAAATAGAGCGCAACAACGACTAGATGTGTTTGTGTAATAGAATAAACAACAAATAGATAGGTTCGGCTTCATTTGCTCATTCCATTGTACCAACTACCTACCAACCAACGAATAATAGAACCTCATCTGTTGCCTTTCTCTTGCTGTGAAGATTGAAATCCATTCGCAAAACACAAGTATAATTTTATTTCAAATGATTTAAATATTTTAATTCCTGCTTTGATTGTCAAACTGTTTATTTGATGAAGTCTTCTTCTGTACAATCTCCCAGGAGATTTCTCTGCTCTGTTATCAAAACACAGAAGACAGAACCAAATTTCAGAAGCACCTTTCTGATATCTTACTTTTAACTAGTAACAGCCTATGACTCCTGAGTTGGAGGATTGAGATGCATATGATCATATAAGTAATAATTAAGCATTCATTTGCTGCTTACTAGCTGTCCAGACAATAATGCAACTTCATTGTTTTCACAGACAAATAATAATGCAACTTTTTTTAAAATTTTTTATGATAACTTCATTAATATGAATTGAAATGAATGACAAAAAACGACATTGCGATTATTAAATCATTTGTATCTCCAATTATAAAATAAGTTGTTGAGAAGAATCCAAAGCGGTAGAGTTTTGTTTTCATGCTCTTAGGTGTTCTCTTACGTATTCTTCAATTATTTTTTAATTTTTTTTAATTTTATGATATGCTTCAATATTTTAAAGGACACTTGTTTCTTGTTTTATTCTAACTAACAAAAATAAGAGAAACATACTGAACCTTTGCTTTGTCTTCAATGGATGAACACCTGATGCCCGCAATGGGATATTTAGTCATACACCCATTCGTAACACTAATGATATAAATAAACTTTGCACCTTTAATTTTAATAAACAAACCCAAAAAATGAAAGCTGACCCTATTTAATTTAATTTTGATTATTAAATTATTTTGATACACTATTGAGTGTGTTGGGGTTGGGTTTGTTTTAAGAAATTGATGGCAATTTTGTAATTTAAAATGAGTTAAAAACCTCTTTGCTATGTTGTAAATGAGTTTTTGGTGTGTTTCTAAAGTCACATTTGGTTTGTTTTTTTTTTTTTTTTTTTTTTTTTTTTTTTTTTTTTTTTTTTTTTTTTTTTTTATAATAATAATAATAATTGGGCCTCTATATTAGGTATAATAGTGAATTTCCCACTTTTCATGGCTCTCATGTTCAAACAGCTATAAATGATGAGAAACTTTAAAGCCTAGAGATAGCGCTAAGTGAGAGAGCATAGGATGGGATAAATGGTTAAGGCGAGATGCCAAGCAGGAGAGTACACGGTTGTAAGGGCACAGGGGATAGTGGATGAGTGAGAGGAGAGGGAAAGTGGATAATTAAAGACCATCTTTAGAAGGGCCCTGAAAGAGTAACAAACTAGTACGTAAGTCATAGATTTGATAAAAGTCAGGAGTAAAGACAAAGAAAACTAAATTATCACGAGTAAAACGGGCAACAGAGAGAAGATTAGTACGAAGAGGGGGAAGACAAAAGATATTTTGAAGAAAAAATTGTGAGAACATAAAGGAAGAGGAAAAGAGCCAATATGAGAGATAGAGAGAGAATCTTCATTACCAAGAAATACAGAATTATTACCCTGATATGGCTGTTGATTTTGAAGATTATAAGGACTTATAGTCATGTGATGATTGCCCCAACCACTATGGCCTCGACCGCGCCAGCCACCACGCATGTTGTTGGAGAAGCCACCACCATGGTGGGAATTGAAGGAAGAGTGGCCGGTGGTGTGAGGAGAAGATTGGGTGGCCATTAATGATGTGTTTTGATAAGGAGAGATTCGAGGAGACTATGCGTCAAAAGCTAAAAAATGAGCATGAAGATCAGCAAAGTTAGGAAGCGGAGGAAAATTGAGAATTGTCGTGGCAAGCATTTTGTAATCGGGTCCTAAACCCCGGAGCATAGCGGTGACAAGTTCTTTTAGGGAGATAGGTTCATTGATGGCAGCCAGTGAATCGGCAAGGGACTTAGCATGACGAAGGTAAGCATCAATGGGTTGAGAGCCTTTTTGCATATCCATGAGTTGAAAACGAAGAGCAGAGTCATTCGCCATACTGGATTGAGAGAAGTGGCATTGGAGACACTCCTAAAGATCCTAGGTAGTGATGCAGCCGACAATGAGAGAGAGAATGGACTCAGACAGTGTACTGGTGATGTAGCTGACAATGAGTTGGTCTCGTTGGTACCACTGAGCATGGGCGGGACTGGTTTGGGTAAAGGAGGCGGTGGTGGTTATGGGTGTTTTGGTGGTAGAAGTGGAGGTTTGGGCACAAGATTGTTTATGAGTGCCATCGATAAATTTTCAGAGGTCATGACTGACTAAAAAGGGTTTGAGTTGACAGAGCCAAAGGAAGTAGTTGGAGTCAGTAAGCTTGATAAAATGGGAAGAGTTGGGGCTAGGGAGGGAGATGGTGGATTTAGACGAAGCCATGAGGTGGACCTAAAGGAAAGGATTGGATTGAATAAGGAAGAGGGAGGAAACCCTAGGTAAGGCTGATACCATGTAGAGAATATATTTCCTTGTATTGAATAGATTACACAAAGTCCCTATTTATACTGATACAGGAAATCTACTTAAGGTAGGAAATAATATAATCATGAATACAATTAGATTTACAACAGGAAAAGCTAATTGCTAGGAGAAGATTGTGAAGTTAACTTCCATGTGTGCTAGGAAAGGAAAGCTGTGTTAACACTATTCCAGAAGCTGGCTTGGAAGGTTGATGGAACACACTAATTGAAGTAAAGGCTTACCTGATATTGACACCTTATGGTGGAAAAACGAGTGAGATTTCCGATGCAGAAACTCCTTTCCCACACAGAAGTGGAAATCTATTCAAAACCAGTATATGGTCACTTGGGATGATGACAAGGAAACTGAGAAGTATATTGGCTTGATGAGAAAGCTGTATGACTACATGGCACCATATGTTTCACAAGAGCTGCCTATTTGAACTACAAGGATCTCGACTTGGGGAGGAACAAGGATGTTAATACAAGCTATGCAGAAGCAAGCATTTGCGGTTTGAAGTATTTCAGGAATAACTTTAGGAGACTTGTTCATGTTAAGACCTTAGTTGATCCTGGTAACTTTTTCAGGGATGAACAGAGCATCCCTGTGTGTCCATCTAGGAAGAAATAGAGTTCCAAGTTCCAACAATCATACTATTCTTTATTAATTCGATCAAAGTGACTAATTGATGAAATTAGAGTGTGCAAAGCCAAGCTTGTGGTCCACCTTCTGATTATCTACCCCAAGCCCAAGCCAAGCCGAGCTTGTTGGTTTTTTTTTTCATTCTCTTTATTTATGTCCACTATAAACAATAATCTCCTTGTTTGACTAGCCCTTTTGGAGTTTGGTTTCCACCTTGACCTCAGAGTTAGGTTTTCACCTTGACCTCGTAAATGGGTTTCCACCTTGATTTGGAGTTGGGTTTCAACTTCGACTTGGAGTTGGATTCCGCCTCGAGTTGGAGTTGGGTTCCTCCTTGACCTCGGAGTTGGGTTCCGCCTTCACTTGGAGTTGGATTCTGCCTTGACCTCGTAGTTGGGTTCCACCTCCACTTGGAGTTGCTTGACCCCGACCTCGACTTGGATTTTAGACCATACCCAAACAGTATCTTCAACATTTAGATAATTGTTTATGAAGAAACTTCTTTCTTTTTGTAAACGTTTTTTATAAGTTTAAAAATACTGTATAACTTTTTTTTTCAGTCTCTTGCGTATGCTCCTATCTTTTCAATTATTGAAAAATCATCGATGGTTATCCAATGACTGCATTGTTCTTTCAACTCAAACTACCTATATAAGTGAGCTCAGAGCTCATACCATTCCACATGCACAGAGAAATGGAGATCTCACACGTAAAACTAGTTCCACGTCTACATTTCATCCTTCTCAACTCAGTTTGGTGCACAACTTCGAACTCAATTTCTGATCGCTTTCTTCAAGGTTTTTCCTTCTACAACTTCGAACTCAATTTCTGATATTTTTCTTTTCCTATTGAGAGATGCGATAATATACTAAACTCACACACACTACATGGATAGTAAGAATCGAACCTAGGACCTTGTCTGGGGGAGCAATTGCTCCAAACCACAACATTAGTGGGTCATTTGCTTTTGATATCTATATTTTAATTAGTAAGCAAGAAGGTTTTAAAATCAGCATCCATTTGCTGCTTACTAGGTGTCCAAACAATAATGCAACTTCATTGTTTTCACAGACAAATAATAATGCAACATTTTATTTATTTAGTTTTACGATGATTTCTTTAATATGAATTGAAATGAATGACAAAAAAACGACAATTAAGAGGGTTTATTTTATGATGATGTGGATAATATGATCCACATTGCGATTATTAAATCATTTGTATCTCAAATTATAAAATAAGTTTTTGAGAAGACTCTAAATCGGTAGAGCTTTGCTTTGTCTTCAATATGCACACCTAATGCCTGCAATAATCTTTCAAGTGAGCTAAGAGCTCATGCATTTCATACAGAGGAAATGAAAATGGTGACATTACACATGAAACTACTTCCTCTACTTTTCATCCTTTTCAACTCAATTTGGTCCACAACTTCAAATTCAGCTACACAAAGCTTTCTTCACTATTTTACCTCTCACTCCCACATACAGAATTTCAACTCAAGTAGCAAAATCATCATTACCAAAAACAGTTCTGCTTATTCCTCAGTCTTGGAATCTTCCATACGCAATCTCAGATTCTTAAACCCTTCAACACCAAACCAGAAGGTATCATTACTCCTCTTCATGGCTCTCATGTTCAAGCAGCTATAATCTGCTCCAAGAAAGACGGCATACTTATAAGAATCCGAAGTAGGGGCCATGACTATTGTGGGAGCAAATTTTCCCACGAGAATATTCGCCTAAGATTCCTTCGTCTTCTCCGCTTCCCTTTCTCCATGCAAAACAGATCGGAGTAAAAGGACCACACCCGGGGGGTGTTGGCCAAAGGCCCTCCGATACTTAAATTAGATAGGGTATTTCAAGGAAAACCGGGTGGCCGGAGCCGTGTGTGGTGGCCGGAGCCTTGTGTGAGAGAGAGAAAGAATATGGTGGCTAGGGTTCTTGAGAAATAATTTCTAAAGAGTTTTAGTAGGAATTTAGACGTACCTCAATCCTTGTGTGTAGCCAAGTATTTATAGTGGTCTCAGAGACTAGGGTTTCAGAGGAATAATTCCGTAGATGGAAATGAATTATTCCTCCCCGATTTGGAATTGATTTTGGTGAATTTGGGATTTGATTTACCCTAATAAATCAAATCCCTAATTGTGGTAGGTATCAAATCAATTCCTAATTTGATTAGGTAACTCCTCAATTAATTTGAAATTGTGGTAGGAATCAAATCAATTCTCTATTTAATTAGGTAACTTTCAATTTAATTGGGTGACTCCCAATTAAATTGAGTAACTCCCAATTAGGTTGAGTAATTCCCAATTAGGTCAATTAATCCCCAAATGGAAGGAATTATTTGACCTAGGGTCGGATTTAATTCGGTTCCCACAACTATGAAGGCCTATCTTATGTATTTGAAACTCCTTTCATCATCATTGATCTTTTCAATCTTCGATCCATCGATATTGACATTGAGAATGAGAGTTCTTGGGTCAAGTCAGGTGCTCCTATCGGAGAGTTTTATTACGCAATTGCACAAAAGAGTAAAGTCTATGGATTTCCAGGAGGGATTTGTCACACAGTTGGTGTTGGGGGACATATTAGCGGAGGTGGATTTGGTACGTTCTGCAGGAAGTATGGTCTGGCAACTGACAATGTCCTTGATGCTAAGATTGTCGACATTAATGGGAGAGTTCTTCACAGAAAATCCAAGGGAGAAGACCTCTTTGGGCTATTAGAGGAGGGGGAGGCTCAAGCTTTGGAGTCATTCTGGCATGGAAACTTAGGTTGGTTCCTGTTCCTCCATTTGTAACAGTTTACAGGGAATCAAAGACCATAGAACAAGGTGCAACCAAATTTGTATCTAAATGGCAAGTTATAGCAGATAGAATTCCTAAAGAGCACTTCCTGCGTTTACTTGTACAAGTTGCAAATGGAGCTGGTAAAAATGATGGAAAAACTATTACAGTTATATTCAATTTCTTGTTTCTTGAGACATTTGAGAAACTTCTCCCTTGGATGCAAGACAATTTCCCAGACTTATGTTTAGACCAGACCAAATTCACGGAAATGAGTTGGATTGAATCTGTTCTATACTTTGAAAGCCTCCCAAGTAACGAAGTAGACGTCTTGCTTCAGCGGACTGAACCATCTAAGAGATTCTTCAAAGCAAAATCAGATTATGTGACAGAACCAATTTCAGAAGCTGGCTTGGAAGATTTATGGCAAAGAATGCTTCAACTGGAGGCATCCGATTTGATATTGACACCTTATGGTGGAAGAATGAGTGAGATTTCTGCTTCAGAAACTCCTTCCCCATATAGAAAAGGAAATTTATTTGAAATCCAGTATTTGGTCTTTTGGAATGATGACAAGGAAACTAAAAAGAATATTGGTTGGTTGAGAAGGCTGTATGCCTCCATGGCACCATATGTTTCAAAGTCCCCAAGAGCTGCCTATTTGCAAGGATTAAAATATCGGCCGTGCAGTTAATATCGGGCCTCTAATTTACAGATATTTCGGGGGACATATCGTTATTATTTTAGGTATCGGAAAAAAATCAACAAAAATGACAGATATAGGCATTGAAACACATAATTTTTGTGTAAAACTTTCATAGATGTTATGTATATTATCAATGAATGTATTGAACAAATAAAACTCAAAATTTACTAATAATAAGATATACATATGATAAAATATAAGTGGTATGTAATGCGCATTAATGAAAAGTTTGAAAATAAAATGTTAATTAGAATGAATAAACCATGCATAAATCCATAGTTTGTTTAAACATTGTATTACAAATTAGATAAGTGTCCATCTACATAAATGAAGAGCTCCAATGAGGTTCAAACAATAAGGAACAACCATCTAGATTCATACAATAGTCATACCAAGTCATGTAACCCGAGCAGTTTGTAAGCCATGTTTAAATATGGTGCACATAGGTCTCTCTTGAGCTCCCTATTGTCCTCCCATATATGGGATAGTTAGGATTAACCAACTAGTAGGTCCATAATTTTTTTTATCATCTTGAGCTCCATAACTAGTTCCACTATAATTAGACATGACATAAACATAGACATCATAAGACTCATTTGAGTTAGTACGAGGTCTAGTTCCTATGTTCATAAATCCAAAACTGATTGCCATGTCCTCTTCAGATGGATTGGAGATATGTGGGCAGTGGACTGTGCATAGATTCTTCATATTAATAAATTATAAGGTTTTGGGCAAAGATTAACTATTTTTGGGTTTCAATTTGCTTCAATTGCCTTCAAAATTTCTGAATTTTTTTTGGGTTCTGTTATGGGTATCGGGAAATATCGGGGATATCGGGAAATATCGGGGATATCGGGAAATATCGGGGATATCGGGAAATATCGGGAATATCGCACTTATCGGAGATATATCGTCGATGCAGGGGAAGATATGGCCTCAGCCCCCAGTATTGATGTCGATAGTTGAAAATACCGATATATCGGCAGATATATCGGTGTATCGGTCGATATTTCAATCCTTGCCTATTTGAACTATAGGGATCTGGACTTGGGAAGGAACAAGGATGCTGATACAAGCTATGCAGAAGCAAGCATTTGGGGTTTGAAGTATTTCAAGAATAACTTTAGGAGACTTGTTCATGTTAAGACCTTAGTTGATCCTGGTAACTTTTTCAGGGATGAACAAAGCATCCCTGTGTTTCCATTGGAGGGAAAAATAGAATGTCAAGAACAACTAGATTGGTTTGTGTAACAGAGAATAAACAATAAGTAGTCTAATTTGAAGATTTAACTTCTACTTTGATTAAACTAGTTTCTTTTGTATTTAAGGTTGCTTTGGTACAATCTCCCCAGATATTTCACTATTATGAAAACATAGAAAATGGAACCAAATTTCAGAAGTACCTTTCTGTTCACTTTGTTAGTGTTGCAATTTAGAAGCGAGTGATGAATGTGTTTTTGAGTGTGATGCTCCGAATACCGTTGTTGGTGTTGAAAATTGGCCCAAATTGTATTGTTTAATTAATTGTGCAAGGGCTACTTTATTATTGTTGTTTGCTAGCTTTGTCATGCCGTGTGCTTTTCAAATGGGGAAATGATGGCACATCCCTTTGTTAAAAGGCTGGAGACAAAGAGATGGAGTAGGTGCCAACACTTGAGAGATCTACACCTACTTTTGTGACAAAGCTTTGGGCATTTCCTTTGTCGGTGGCTGCCATTATGAGAAATAAATCTTTCTTTCTTTGTTTATTAGCCTTCAATATTATATTGGCCACATTGTTGGTTTGTACCCGTGACGTGAGAACAAGAGAGAGAGGTAGAATAGTCTTTGTATTAGACCATCTCCAACCATGGAAGGTCAAACCTAAAATTTGAGATTTTTAGCCCAAAACCTTCTCCAATCCATGTATTTGGAGGGGGTGTAATTTGAGTTGACTGAAAAATGGGGTGGAATTTCGCCTCAGATTCCAGTCCAGGCAGGATTTTTGTGGGGCCCATTTCGCAAAAGACAAGAGACACGTGAGGCCACATTTGAAGCAAATGATGGGATGTTGCCCACTACCCCAAGTTGCTGGCCACTTGTCAAAGCCTACGCAACTTAAAAATTGGACTTCTATGGCTGCATTTAAAATGGGCATCTTTCAAATTTTTTTTTTTCAAACCTAAAGGCTAGAAATCAACAGCTGATATTAAATTTTGGCTGGATCAAAGGGAAAAAAATTAATCTAACAGCTGAAATTTAAATCCAAAGGTCAAAATAAGTAAATATATTATTATAAGTTGGATGCAAAATCAAAACATATCCTAAACTCTATAAATACCCATCAATTTGTTAATAAAATTATGTTTGTGAAATTTCAAAAAATTTATGTCAAAATGTTCAAAAAAATAAATCACGAAGTAATATGCAAAAATTAATTTTAAAAAAATTAACCACAAAAACAAAATAGGATTATATTATTCTTTAATAATTTAATAAATTTGCGGACTCAAATTATGAGTTCGCAAGGTTGGAGGAAAAAACAATTTGAGTCCTAAAAATACATGAATAGTTGTATTTTGGAGGGTGAAAATTTGAGTTTAGCCCCAACATGGTTGGAGATGGTCTTATTGCTACTACTTTTGACTCTTGGGTTTTTGAGAAGACAACTTAGGTTATGCATCAAGAGGGCTTTCATTGGTTTTTTTTTTCCAATGCTGGTTGTTGTGCTCTTTCGGTGCATTTCTTGTCTTGTGGAGGACTTTGAAAGTGCTCAGGACAACTTGCATGGTTTCTTCATGCAAGCAGCTGTTGGACCAAATTCTTTGGTTATATAAAGAAGACTTGGCAGATAGAAAGGGGGTAGCATGTCTCACCATTTGGAGGTGCCGTGAGCACCATTGCTCAGATAGGCTAAAATAGAAGTGCTACTTCCACATAGAGAGAAATACTAGAGGGCATCACCATGAAGGTGGAGATAAACTCCTCTTTGGCTACACAAGATGTTGAGGGAAGATCAAGCCATTTCAAAGGTTGAGTCTTCTTCATTTGTTCCTTGTGTTTGTGTAAAGTTTATTTCTTTATATTCTTCCTAGTGTGTTCTTTCCTAGTAAGCAAGAACAATCCTGTGTTCTTGGCTTTTGTGTGTGGTTAGCTTGAGAGTGACTTGGTGTAATTGAGATTTAGGCTATGAGAGTTAAACTCTGTAATTCCTAGGATAGGTGAGAGGGTTATCTCCTTTGGTTGTAATCTCTTTTGGGATACTAGTGGAATTTCTTGTTGTCTTTAAACTGGATGTAACACACGGCTAAACCAATATAAATCCTTGGTGTTGTTTGGATTTCTGTGTTTCATATTTTGCTCTTGTTGTTTCAATGGTTTCATATCCACTATCCAGTGCAATCCACTTCCACCGCACAAAACAGTTGGTTTATGTGGTGAAGGGGTTTAGGAAGACAATAGTTGAAAGAAAGTGATTTTATTAATTTAAAGGAGAATAGTACGTAGCTTTGTGTACATAGAACTGAAGGCGGATTGGCCTTTACGTGGCTATTGGCCACCACATTTGATTTAGATTAGTTTGGGCTATTTGGCCTTTCACTTAGATTGGTGAGCTTATTGGCTCCACAACAGAATTTGATTTTGGGTAGCTCTTGGCTCCCTTAGGCCATCTCCAACATATGTATTTTAAAGGGTGGAAATTTGAGATGGCCGGAATTCCAGTCTGGGTTTTTCTTGGATTGGAAATTTTAGTGGGCCCCAACTCGTGCGGCACACAGCCCATGTGAAGAGGAAAAATGGAGCGAGCCCCATGTGGTAGAAAGTTTTTGCTCTCCCTTTGCTTCCGCGTGACAAGTGGCAGCTCACTATTTGTAGTTGTGAAACTGTGAGCTTGCATTGCAGCCGCCGCCCCCCTCAGGTGGGTGGCTTCCCCATCTTCCATCTTTCTCTCCTCATCTCCCTTTTTCTCCTTTCCTAGTTTTCTTCACCTCTCTTATTCTCTCCCCAGATTTGTCTAGATTTTGGGTCCTTTTGCCAAGATCTATCTAGATCTTGTCTTTTGTTTGTTTGTGTGTTTTCTGTTGTATGTCCTTGATGACTTTTGTTGTTCTTGGATGTGTCTTGTTGTCATTGGGATGGTTACGGTGTGGTGTTGTCGACCCAGCTTTTCTCTTTGGTTTTCATTGTGTTTTTTAAGCAAGTACTGCAATTCACTGTAGACGCCATGATTTTGTTGCAGCTTTTGGACCACACATATGGAATTTGCTCCAATTTAGTGTTTGGAGTAGGAAAAGTGATTGTTGCTGGCTTGTGTTGGATTGGCTTTTGCCTGTGCAAAATAAGAGGTTTAGCCATATTGGTGCTACGAGTCTCTTTGGTTTGCTGCAGAGGAAGTGGTGTGGTGTCCTTGTTTCTATGTTTATTTTAGCCTAATAATTCTCAGAAACTCAATAGGAGTTTGCTAATGTATGTATTTAGTTCGATGCGGATTTGTCGTTACTGTCGTTGCGCGGTGGATCTGTATTGTAGGTCTGAGTACAGATGAAACCAATTTATTTTTGTGTTTGGTCACTGGAGATGTTGTACTCATATTTGGCATTGCGACTACTCTGTACTTTTTATGTGTTATCAATAAAATTACTACCGCTTTTAATAAAATAAAAAAAATAAAAAAGTTGCTCTATTTTGCAGAAAGAAAAAAAAATTAAGTTGATGTGTGTTTTTTTTTTTTTTTTTTTGTTGTAAAAGTGAAATTATATTATGTTTTGAATTTTGAATTTTTTAAGGTTAAAATGTTCAGAAAATTAAATCACGAATGTTGAAACCAAAATAATGTCAAGAAAAATCAACGACAAAAAAAAAATAAAAAAATTGAAGGTTAACCATTTTTAAACAATTTAAATAAAGTTGTAAACTCAAATTATGAGTCTGTAAGGTTGGAGGAAAAAAACAATTTGAGTCCTAAAAATACATGAATAGTTGTATTTTAGAGAGTGAAAATTTGAGTTTAGCCTCAACATAATTGGAGATGTTCTTAGTTGGGAATCCTCTTGGTTAACTCCCATCACCTTTAGTTGATTAGCTTATTAGTTTAGGTTGCTAGCTTCTACCTTAGATTTGGGTAGCTTGTTTGCTTATAGACATTGCTTGCCGACTTAGACAATCTCTCCTCTCCAATATTCGCAGCCACACATGTTGACTTGCTCTGGAAGCATCCACAATCTTCAATTATGTTTGTGGATATTTGTCTAACCTACATTTCCCACCGCCATGGAACTTCTTCATTGTAAGCTATTGATCTTTCTAGAAGTCTTCAATTACGTCTACTGCAACTAATAATGCGACTTTTTATTTTTTTCAAAAACAAGTAATTCTGCAACAAAACGTGTACAATTTATACGTGCTCAAGTAAACGCCACAATCACTGTGGTAACCCTGCTCAACCAACAAGGATTTCTTTAACTTAATGAAACTAATGACCAAAAACTACAACTGAGAGAGACAGCGATGACATAGATCATATGATTCAAACTGCGATTAATTAAATCTTTGGCGTCTTCAACCTTAAAATAAGCTTTCGAGAAGACTTTGAACTTGTACAGAACTTGGCTTTCAGTCTGTGACGTATTCTCTTGCGCATTTTTTTATTTGCAAAGGTTGTTGCTTGTCTTAACTGAAAAAGAAAGGAGAAAGTTTGAGCATTGACTTTGTCTGAAATACTTTACCAAGTCTTTGTTTTGGAGTCATACTTTTCCACGTCATAGTAGATATATTAGAGATATAATAGCCTATGCATTTCACACTTCAAACTGCGCAGAGGAAATGAATATGGAGATATTCAAATTACTTCCAATACTTTTCATCTTTTTCAACCCTGTTTGGTCCATAACTTCAAATTCAGCTACAGAAAGCTTTCTTCAATGTTTTACCTCCCACATACAGAATCTCAACTCAAGTAGCAAAATCATTCTCAGCAAAAACAGTTCTGCTTATTCCTCAGTCGTGCAATCTTCCATACAAAACCTCAGATTCTTGAACACTTCAATATCAAAACCAGAAGCTATCATTTATCCCTTTCATGATTCTCATGTTCAAGCAGCTGTAATTTGCTCCAAGACAAACGGCATACAAATCAGAATCCGAAGCGGGGGCCATGACTACGAGGGCCAATCTTATGTATCCAGAGCTCCTTTTGTCATCATTGATCTTTTCAATCTTCGGTCTATCGATGTTGACATAGAAAATGAGAGTGCTTGGGTTGAATCCGGTGCTACTCTTGGAGAGTTGTATTACAGAATTGCAGAAAAAAGTAAGGCTTATGGATTTCCAGCAGGGTCATGTCCTACTATGGGTGTGGGGGGACATATTAGTGGAGGTGGATTTGGTACCATACTGAGAAAATATGGTCTAGCAGCTGACAATGTCATCGATGCTAGGATTGTCGACGTCAATGGCAGAGTTCTTGACAGAAAATCCATGGGAGAAGAACTCTTTTGGGCTATTAGAGGAGGGGGAGGTTCAAGCTTTGGAGTCATTGTGGCATGGAAACTTAGGTTGGTTCCTGTCCCTCCATCTGTGACAGTTTTCTCAATTTCAAAGACCACAGAACAAGGTGCAACCAAACTTCTTTCTAAATGGCAAAACATTGCAGACAAGTTTCATGAAGACCTTTTCCTACATACAGTCATAGGTGTTGGAGATAAAGCTGGAACAAATGGTGGCAAAACTATTGCTATTGAATTCAGTTCATTGTTTCTTGGGCCGGTGGAGAAACTTCTCCTTTTGATGCAGGACAATTTTCCAGAGTTAAGTGTAGCCCGCAGCGATTGCACCGAAATGAGTTGGATTGAGTCTGTTCTTTACTTTGCTAGCATCTCAAGAAACGAATCAGAAGCTTTGCTCAATAGGACTCAACAATCTAAGAGCTTCTTCAAAGCAAAATCAGACTATGTCAATGAACCTATTTCAGAAGCTGGCTTGGAAGGTTTATGGCAAAAACTAATTGAAGTAGGGGGTTACCTGATATTGACACCTTATGGTGGAAGAATGAGTGAGATTTCCAATTCAGAAATTCCTTTCCCACACAGAAGTGGAAATCTATTCAAAATCCAGTATATGGTCACTTGGGATGATGAGAAGGAAACTGAGAAACATATTGGCATGATGAGAAAGCTGTATGCCTACATGGCACCATATGTTTCTAAGTCCCCAAGAGCTGCCTATTTGAACTACAAGGATCTTGACTTGGGGAGGAACGAGGATGCTAATACAAGCTATGCACAAGCAAGCATTTGGGGTTTGAGTTACTTCAAGAATAACTTCAGGAGACTTGCTCAAGTGAAGACCTTAGTTGATCCTGGTAACTTCTTCCGGGATGAACAAAGCATCCCTGTGTATCCATCTAGGAAGAAATAGAGCTTCAACAATCAATACATGATAATATTAGCAATCCCAATTGCCTACAATGAATAAAGTTTGGAACTATCTTCAAACCCATTTGTCTGTTATTGTGATATTGTTCATATCATAGTTTCCCTTGTCCTTTTCCCCCCCTAGATTTTCTTTGTGTTATGATGTGAATTATGATGAAATGCCTTTCTTAAATTGTGTGTGCATTCATACATGAACATGGTGTTTGATGAAATGCCTCACATAGTATTTCCCCATTATTTGAAGAAAGTTATATTATAGGAGCACATGGGCGGCAAAAAAGCAACTAATTTGATAATGGGTTGCTCCCAACAGTCGACCAAGACACGGAAACTTTAGCAACTAGCTATTGTCCATATGCATTATTCACCCAAAATGACCAGTTTATTTCCCAGCACCAAACCAAATTCCCTGATTCAAGGTTTTTTCTAACTCGGCTTGCCTCAACATCCGCTAAGTAATATTCCGCAGCACATATGATCCAAACTAGTGGATATAATTCAAAGAATATGAATATAACTACAACAAAAACATTGACCGGTTAGAAGACTGGAAAGTGGGACCACCCAATTCATGTGGCAGAGATTCTAATTGGTGTGTTCAATCTTGAGCCATTCACCATTTCAACATTGCACACTAGGAAATGAATTATTAAGAGCAAAGAAATAGCTATTTTTGTGGTGAAGGTATATATAAATTCCACCTTACAGCTATATGACTTGACAAGACATAATCTTGGATATTTTAAGCAAGGTTGACTTTTGACAAGTTGAGATAATGCCATGTCCATCAAGGAAATGCCCTGGTAGAAGGAAGACTTTTATGAAATGTGGGACAACATTATTTTGTTATTCTCGGTCAATAACATTATAACACTTATGATAACATTTTCGTATGATATAGTATTATTAGTCAGAAATAACAAAACAGTGATATCCGGTTGCAGCTAAAGTTTTTCTCATGATTGACATACAAACACAACCCACCTCCACTAATTTTCGAAGTCTTTTTTTTTTAAACTCATATTTTCCAAGTCATAGTACATATATTAGAGAGCTAATAGCCTATGCATTTCATATGTACAGAGGAAATCAAAATGGTGACCTTACACATCAAACTACTTCCTCTACTTTTCATCCTTTCCAACTCAGTTTGGTCCACAACTTCAAGTTCAGCTGCAGAAAGCTTTCTTCAATGTTTTACCTCCCACATACAGCAATATAACTCTAGCAAAGTCATTATCACCAAACACAGTTCCGCTTATTTCTCAGTCGTGCAATCTTCCATACAAAACCTCAGATTCTTGACCAGTTCAACATCAAAACCAGAAGCTATCATTACTCCCTTTCATGACTCTCATGTTCAAGCAGCTGTAATTTGCTCCAAGAAAAAGGGCATACTAATCAGAACCCGAAGCGGAGGCCATGACTACGAGGGCCAATCTTATGTAGCCAGAGCTCCTTTTGTCATCATTGATCTTTTCAATCTTCGATCTATCGATGTTGATATAGAAAATGAGAGTGCTTGGGTTGAATCCGGTGCTACTCTTGGAGAGTTGTATTACAGAATTGCAGAAAAAAGTAAGACTTATGGATTTCCAGCAGGGTCATGTCCTACCATAGGTGTGGGGGGGACATATTAGTGGAGGTGGATTCGGTACCTTGTTTAGGAAGTATGGTCTGGCAGCTGACAATGTCCTTGATGCTAAAATTGTCGACGTTAATGGCAGAATTCTTGACAGAAAATCCATGGGAGAAGAACTCTTTTGGGCTATTAGAGGAGGGGGAGGCTCAAGCTTTGGAGTGATTCTGGCGTGGAAACTTAGACTGGTTCCTGTTCCTCCATCTGTTACAGTTTTCAGATTTTCAAAGACCGCAGAACAAGGTGCAACCAAAATTTTTTCTAAATGGCAAAACATTGCGGATAAGCTTCATGAAGACCTTTTCCTACATACAGTCATAGGTGTTGGAAATAAAGCTGGCACAAATGGTGGAAAAACTATTGTAATTGAATTCGGTTCATTGTTTCTTGGGCCGGTGGACAAACTTCTCCTTTTGATGCAGGACAATTTTCCAGAGTTAAGTGTTGACCGCAGCGATTGCACTGAAATGAGTTGGATTGAGTCTGTTCTTTACTTTGATTACATCCCAAGAAACGAATCAGAAGCTTTGCTCAGTAGGACTATAAAATCTAAGAGCTTCTTCAAAGCGAAATCAGACTACGTGACCCAACCTATTTCAGAAGCTGGCTTGAAAGGTTTATGGCAAACACTAGTTGAAGTGGGGGCTTACCTGATATTGACACCTTATGGTGGAAAAATGAGTGAGATTTCCAATTCAGAAATTCCTTTCCCACACAGAAGTGGAAATCTATTCAAAATCCAGTATATGGTCACTTGGGATGATTACAGGGAAACTGAGAAATATATTGGCTTGATGAGAAAGCTGTATGACTACATGGCACCATATGTTTCAAAGTTCCCAAGAGCTGCCTATTTGAATTATAAGGATCTTGACTTGGGGAGGAACAAGGATGTTCATACAAGCTATGCAGAAGCAAGCATCTGGGGTTTGAAGTATTTCAAGAACAACTTTAGGAGACTTGTTCATGTTAAGAGCTTAGTTGATCCTGGTAATTTCTTCAGGGATGAACAAAGCATCCCAGTGTGCCTATCTAGGAAGAACTAGAGTTTCAACAATGAATACATGATAATATTAGCAATCCCAATTGCCAACAATGAATAAAGTTTGGAACTTTCTTCAAACCCAACTGTCTGTTACCAAAACAGTGAAAATGAAAACCAAATTTCAGAAGCACTCTTCTAAATTCTGATAGTGTTCATTTCATCATTTTCTCTGTATTATGATAGTGTTCATTTCATTTCATCATTTCATCACATGGGGGCAAACCAAGTAAGAAAGGCCTAATCTTTACTTAATTTGCGTTTGCATTCATATATGAACAAGGTGTTTGATGAAATACCTCACAGAGTTTTTTCTCATTATTTGAAGAAGGTTATATTATACGAGCACATAGGCCGCAAAAAAGCAACTAATTTGATAATGGGTTGCTATGAACAGTCGACCAAGTTACAGAAATTTTAGCGACTAGCTATTTGTCCATATTATTCACCTAAAATGACCAAGTTACAGAATTGCACGGAGATATTATGAGAAGAAAGCCACAAATATGCTTCTTTCGCTGATAAAATGTCAGACATAGCACCAGTCCAAATAAGTTGATCAGCATACGGCTCAATAGGCAAATCAATAGCCTCAATAAAAGCTGCCAAATGTGGAAAAGCCCTTACAAAATTCACAGGCAAATCCCAACGACAATTATTAATAAAATCAGCAACTTTAGCATGAAAAGTGAAAGCCACTGAGGGAGGAATGCCTAACAAAGGCATTAAAGAATCCCCCATCCAATTATCAGTCCAAAAATCAATTTGAGAACCATTGCCAATTAGCCATTGAGAATTCTCTGGGATTTGAGGCAACAACTTCTTAAGGCCCAACCAAATAGAGTAGCAAAAAAGGCAGCAAAAGAGCTTGCTCTGAACAGAACATGTCCTTGGTGGAACTTTGCTTCCAATAACCATCCACTAAGTAATATTCCGCAGTGCATGTGATCCAAATTAGTGGATATATTCAAAGAATATTACAGCACTTCTAATCAAATATTGGTAAACATTCATAGTGCTAAGCAAGCAATAAATGTAACAAAAAAAGGAGAAGGATTGACCAGTTAGAAGACTGGAAAGTGGGGCACAAAAATAACCCAATTCATGTGGCAGAGATTGGAATTGGGGTGGTCAATGTTGGGCCGTTCACCATTTCAATATTGCACACTAGGAAAGGAATTATTAAGAGCAAAGAAAATAGCTATTTTTGTCGTGCAAGTATATATAAATTCCACCTTATTGCTATATGACTTGAGAAGATATAATCCAAGATGTTTTAAGCAAGTTTGACGCTTGACAAGTTGACATAATGCCATGTCCATCAAGGAAATGCACTAGCAGTAAAAAACCGTTTACGTAAATTTTGAGATATGCCTCCACTGTTGTTGGAGAAAAACTTCTATGAAACGGGGATATTACTTTTTTTTAATTCCCAGTCAATAATGCTATGACCTGATAATACGTATGACATAGTATTATTGGCTAAAAATAACAAAATTGATATCCCATTGCAACTAAATTTTTCTCCCACTAGTTGTCAAATAATATGGGTAGAATATTTTTTCAGGTTGTATTTCATTCTCCAAAATGAGATATTTATAATACAAGGATGTAACTCTAGTAGGGTCAAACTAGAAAACAAGATAAAATTCTAATTACACAATATCTGTACAAAAGGAAAGAAATATAATCCTAATAAACTAGGAAATAAATCTCCTAATTAAGCTAGGATATCGCTAACACTCCCCCTCAAGTTGGAGCAAAGATGTCACGCATGCCCAACTTGTCAAGCGAGTTGAGAAAGACAGTAGTAGACACAGATTTTATAAGTACATCTACCAATTGATACTCGGATGACATAAACGAAAAAGAAACAATCTCAGCATCCACTTTCTCTTTAATAAAATGTCGATCAACCTCCACGTGCTTTGTACAATCATGTTGCACAGGATTATGAGCAATCGCAATTACAACTTTGTTATCACAATACAAATCCATGGGTTTCTGGGGCACAAACCCAAGATCTCTCAACAATCTCCTCAACCATAGTAACTCGCACACACCTTGAGCCATCCCACAATACTCAGCTTCGGCACTAGACCGAGACAACCTTTTTTGCTTTTTACTCCTTCAAGTAATAAGATTACCATCAACAAATGTGAAATACCCAGACGTAGAACGTCTATCAGTGACCGAACCAGTTCAATCCGCATCCGTATACCCTTTCACATCTATATGACCATACTTGGAAAACATTAACCCCTTGCTAATAATTACTTTCAGATACCTCAAAATACGCATCATAGCACCCATATGATCTTCACTAGGAGAATGCATGAACTAACTCACTACACTCACTACATATGCAATATCAGGACATGTATGAGCTAAATAAATCAATTTCCTCATAAGTCGTTGACAACGCTCTTTATCTCTAGGGACTTTATCAGGATACAACCCTAACTTATGATGTTCACTAAGGGTATCAATTGGTTTACAATCCAACATTCCAGTCTCTACAAGTAAATCCAAAATATATTTTCTTTGAGATAGAAAGATACCATGTTTAGATCTGACAACTTTAATCCCAAGAAAATACTTCAAATCACCCAATGACTTCATCTCAAACACGGAAGCCATATACTTCTGAAGATTTTGCATTTTTGCCTGATCATCTCCAGTCACAATCATATCATCAACATAAATAATTAAAGCTGTCAATTTACCTTTATAACACTTTAGAAGCAAAGTATGGTCTGAGTTACTCTGCACATACCCAAATTTCTTCATAGATGCTGCAAATCTCCCAAACCACGCTCTTGGAGATTGTTTCAATCCATATAAGGACTTTCGCAACTTACACACAACACCCTACTTAGAGGTTATAGGAATACCATGAGGGAGATCCATGTAAATCTCCTCCTTGAGGTCACCATGTAAAAACACGTTTTTGACATCGAATTGCAATAAGTTCCAGTCATGGTTAGCAGCCAAGGACAATAGTACACGCACAGTATTGAGCTTTGCCACTGGAGCAAAAGTCTCCAAATAATCCACTCCATAGGTCTGAGTATAACTCTTTGCTACCAATCTTGCCTTGTAATGGTTAATGGAACCATCAGCCTTATGTTTCAAAGTAAACACCCATCTACATCCAACAGCTTTCTTCCCTCGTGGCAAAGGTACTAAATCCCATGTTTTATTCTTATTCAAGGCATCCATTTCAACATTCATAGCATCCATCCATTTAGGGTTAGATAAAGCATCCTGCAGCTCAGTTGGCATACATACACTAGATAATTGAAACAAATATGATGCATATGACTTAGACAAACGATGAGTTGACACATAATGGCTAATGAGATATTTAGACTTAGCATGTATATCAAGAGAATATTGTATTTTAGGTTTCCCACGAGTAGTTTGTGGGGGTAACTGATAAGTTGACATGGATAGATTATTAGAAATTACCTCACTTGATTCACTATCACGAGTAGATTGGGGCACTGGCAGGGCAGATGGAGGTATTGCATCGAACTCATCCACAAAAGAATCACTGTCACTATTTTCAAATACAGGCGACTAGTCACTTGCTTCAATGCAACCGGTCGTTTTGACACCGAGAGCACCTGCTTCATCTCCAGATATGGGCATAGACCACATGTTTCATCTTCAAATATGGGCGATCGGTCACTTGCTTTAGTGCAACCGGTCGTTTACTTCCCGAGAGCAGTATCTTTAAACACATCATTCTCCAATTCAAGTCCAAGATTCTCCAATCCAAGACTCTCCAATTCACTCATCCTCTCTCCCTGAATTGGAGAGAATTGAGAGATATAATAAGGCACTTCTTTATGGAAAGTCACGTTCAAAGTAACATGCACTTTCTGGGTAGGTGGATGATAGCACTTATAACCCTTCTGATTAGAAGAGTAACCAATAAAGACACATCGCAGAGCACAAGAATCAAGTTTACTCTGTTGATGAGAGTAGTCATAAACATAGGCAACACACCCAAAAACTTTAGGGGGAAACTTGAAGACGGAGATAGGGAAAACATAGTCACCAAACACATCATGCGGAGACTTGAAATCAATAACCCGGCTAGGAGTACAATTAATCAAATAGGCAGCAGACAGAACATCGTGCCCCTAAAGATGATGGGGAATAGACATATCCAATATGAGTGAGCGAGCAACTTCAAGCAATTGTCAGTTTTTTCTTTCAAACACACCATTTTGTTGAGCGGTAAAAAGGGTTGTCGTTTGGTGAATAATACCTTGAGCACGGAAGAAAGACGCCAAAGTATTATTTACATATTCACCTCCGCTATCAGTCCAAAATACTTTGACCTGAGCATGAAACTAAATAGACACCATAGTACAAAACTCTGGAATGATGGAAGCAACATCATATTTATTTTTTAGCAAGAAAACCTAAGTGAGTTGGGTACAATCATCAATAAATGTGACGAACCAACGAAATTCATTCAAAGTAATGCGAGCTAGACCCCACACATCAGAATGCACTAAATCAAAAGGCTTTGTAGCTTTACTGTCACTCAAAGGAAACACAATGCGATAACTCTTGGCCAAAATACATGTCTCACACTTAAAACTGGACTCATCACAATAGATATGAAAACATATGCTTAAGGTAGCCAAATGACGGGTGCCCCAAGCGATGATGCCATAACCAAATTTGATGTTTGTCTTTGACATTGCAACTTTGAACAGTATTAACGACACGATCACAATCTAGTGTAGAAGGCAATGTCAAATAATATAACCCCTCTATCTGTTTACCATGCCCAATCGTCTCGTGAGTCTTGAGATCTTGAAAAGAGCAATGTGTAGAATAGAAAGTAGCAGAAACATTAAGTGTATCAAGTAATCGACTAACAGATAACAAGTTACAATGGATATTGGGAACTAATAATGCACAAGACAAGGACAGAGTAGGAGTGAGAGAGATCGTGCCCTCGTCAATAATTGGAGAAGACAAGCCATTGACACTAGTTATGTATGGGTCACGGGTGTTACTAGACAACTCATCAAAAAATTTAGCATCATAAGTCATATAACCAAAAGCACTAGTGTCAATTATCCAAGTATTGGAACTAGTATCTGGAATAGAGTCACAAACACACAAATTTGCAGAAGCAGCAACAACAACACCAGCAATGAAGTTATCACCCATGATTGAAGTAGAAACTCAACAGATCACGACAGAGTATACAACGGAACACATCAGAGGCACAAATATGGCAGATGCATGAAGACAAGCATGAACACAATAAAGGCACGAACACGGCAGAGTACACAGCGGAACATAGTAAATGCACAAATACGGCAGATGCACGAAGACAAAAATGGCACGAACACGGCAGAGTACACAGCGGAACATAGTAAATGCACAAATACGGCAGATGCACGAAGACAAGAATGGCACGAACACTATAACACAACACACAAACCTAAGAGGGCACACACGGCACGGGTAGAGAAAAAAAAATGTGGCTATAACACTAGTGGCCGCAACACACAGGTCACCACCTAGCTCTTATGCCATGTCAAACAATATGGGTAGAATATTTATAATATAAGGATGTAACCCTAGTAGGGTCAAACTAGGAAACAAGATAAAATCCTAATTACACAATATCTGTACAAAATGAGAGAAATATAGTCATAATAAACTAGGAAATAAATATCCTAATTAAGGTAGGATCTCACTAACACTAGTAACATACAAACACAATCCACCTCCACTAATTTTCCAAGTCATAGTACATATATTAGAGCGCTAATAGCCTATGCATTTCATATGTGCAGAGGAAATCAAAATGGTGACCTTACGCATGAAACTACTTCCTCTACTTTTCATCCTTTTCAACTCAATTTGGTCTGCAACTTCAAATTCCGCTGTAGAAAGTTTTCTTCAATGTTTTACCTCCGACATAAAGTGATGCAGGAGCATAGGGGTGGATCAAGATAGATATTTATCATTTAATTAGTTATTTCATGATATATTGTTATTTTCTTATTTAGGTAGTTTTATGATATCTTTTATTATTTATGTGTGATTTTATAATTAATTAGTTTACTTTTGGACCAAGCAGTCTTGGTGCCCAAGTTTTGTAAAGCTTATAAATAAGGCTATTGTAATAGTTGTAGAGAGATGGAATATTGATGATTAATGATATAGTTTATTTGTGGCATGGATTTGCTACGACATATGTGAGTTTGCACTAGCCCTAGATTTCGGTGCTCGTGTATGTGGTTGGTGACCTGTGTCCTGACCTCGATCCCCATCATAAAGCATAACTCTAGCAAAATCATTATCACCAAAAGCAGTTCTGCTTTATTTTTCAGCCGTGCAATCTTCCATACAAAACCTCAGATTCGTGACCAGTGCAACATCAAGACCAGAAGCTATCATTACTCCCTTTCATGACTCTCATGTTCAAGCAGCTGTAATTTGCTCCAAGAAAAAGGGCATACTAATCAGAATCCGAAGTGGGGGCCATGACTACAAGGGCCAATCTTATGTAGCCAGAGCTCCTTTTGTCATCATTGATCTTTTCAATCTTCGGTCTATCGATGTTGACATAGAGAATGAGAGTGCTTGGGTTGAATCCGGTGCTACTCTTGGAGAGTTGTATTACAGAATTGCAGAAAAAAGTAAGGCTTATGGATTTCCAGCAGGGTCATGTCCTACCATAGGTGTGGGGGGACATATTAGTGGAGGTGGACTTGGTACCTTGTTCAGGAAGTATGGTCTGGCAGCGGACAATGTCCTTGATGCTAAAATTGTCGACGTTAATGGCCGAGTTCTTGACAGAAAATCCATGGGAGAAGAACTCTTTTGGGCTATTAGGGGAGGGGGAGGTTCAAGCTTTGGAGTTATTCTGGCATGGAAACTTAGGTTGGTTCCTGTCCCTCCATCTGTAACAGTTTTCAAAATTTCAAAGACCACAGAACAAGGTGCAACCAAACTTCTTTCTAAATGGCAAAACATTGCGGATAAGCTTCATGAAGACCTTTTCCTACATTCAGTCATAGTTGTTGGAAATAAAGCAGGCACAAATGGTGACAAAACTATTATTATTGAATTCAGTTCGTTGTTTCTTGGGCCCGTGGAGAAACTTCTACCTTTGATGCAGGACAATTTTCCAGAGTTAAATGTAGACCGCAGCGATTGCACTGAAATTAGTTGGATTGAGTCTGTCCTTTACTTTGCTAGAATCTCAAGAAACGAATCAGAAGCTTTGCTTAGGAGGACTCAACAATCTAAGAGCTTCTTCAAAGCAAAATCAGACTACGTGAATGAACCTATTTCAGAAGCTGGCTTGGAAGGTTTATGGCAAACACTAATTGAAGTAAAGGCTTACCTGATATTGACACCTTATGGTGGAAAAATGAGTGACATTTCCGATTCAGAAACTCCTTTCCCACACAGAAGTGGAAATCTATTCAAAATCCTGTATATGGTCACTTGGGATGATTACCGGGAAAATGAGATAGGTGAGAGCTTGATGAGAAAGCTGTATGACTACATGGCACCATATGTTTCAAAGTCCCCAAGAGCTGCCTATTTGAACTATAAGGATCTTGACTTGGGGAGGAACAATGATGTTCATACAAGCTATGCACAAGCAAGCATTTGGGGTTTGAAGTATTTCAAGAACAACTTTAGGAGACTTGTTCATGTTAAGACCTTAGTTGATCCTGGTAACTTCTTCAGGGATGAACAAAGCATCCCTAGTGAGCGTTCATCTAGGAAGAAATAGAATTTCAACAATAAATGCATGATAATATTAGCAATCAATAATTTAAAGATCTTTCTGCTTTAATTTCCAAAATAATTTCCTAATAGTCAAGGCTTGTTAAAGTTTGCAACTTTCTTCAAAACCAATTGTCTGTTACCAAAACAGTGAAAATGGAAACCAAATACTGTTCTAAATTCTGATAGTGTTCATTTCATCATTTTCTTTGTATTATGATGTAATAATCTGCGAAGCATGTTGTAATAATCCGTGAAGCATGTTGTAATTAATAGTGTCTATAAAGCAGTTATTGCATATTATTCTTTACTTTTCTTTAATTGGATCAAAGTGACTAATTGATGAGATGAGATTGTCTCATCAAACTAAAGAACTCAACTTTAGCCTTTTCTAACCCTTCTTATCTGTCTTCTGTCAAAACACTTTGTCATGGCATCTTCTGGATCCTTTCAAATCCACGAATCTCGCCTCTAAACAATAGATTTGGTAGTTGCATGTTTAAAGATGTCTTAAGTTAAAGCAAAAGTGGTTGATAATATGTATGATCACATGGGGGCAAACCAATTAAGAAAGGTCTAATCTTTACTTAAATTGCATGTGCATTCATATACGAACAAGGTGTTTGATGAAATGCCTCACAGAGTTTTTTCCCATTATTTGAAGAAGGTTATATTATAGGAGCACATGGGCAGCAAAAAAGCAACTAATTTGATAAGGGGTTGCTATGAACAGTCGACCAAGTTGCAGAAATTTTAGCAACTAGCTATTTGTCCATACTCATTATTCACCTAAAATGACCAATTAATTTGCCAGCACCAAACCAAATTCCCTGATTCAAGGTTTTTTCTAACTCGGCCTGCCTCAACATGTCTTTGGTGGAACTTTGCTTCCAGTAACCATCCACTAAGAAATATTCCACAGTACATGTGATCCAAATTAGTGGACATATTCAAAGAATATAACAGCACTTCTAATCTAATATTGGTAAACATTGATAGTGCTAAGCAAGCAATAAACGTAACAACAACAAAAACATTGACCAGTTAGAAGACTGGAAAGTGGGGCACAAAATTAATCCAATTCATGTGGCAGAGATTTGAATTGGTGTGATCAATCTTGGGCCATTCACCATTTCAACATTGCAGACAATTGAATTGGTCTGGTGGGTAGTTGATTTTTATGACATTTGCAGATTGTGGCTTCCCTCTGGACCCTCCGGTGGGTGTAGAACTTATGGAGAAGATTCAGCGTTTGACATGCAAACATTTTTCAAAAGTTAAAAGAGTCTTTGCATATTGAGCGGCGAGATTTCCATGTAAGTGATTTGAAAAACCATTACTGTCACGACACGCTAGGTTTTGTGTTCGATTTTTCCTTCCCTCAATATCATTTAAAGAAAAATACAAATGAAAACATTTTTCTCTAGAAACATTTTACGGTCAAAGTTTTTCTGTTCAATCATACATTAAACTTTTCTTCTTCTTTTCAGATTAAAATTGTTATCCAGTATAGAGTTCGTTGAATGATATTATGAGTTGATGCTAATCTTTTGGTAAAATATTGGGTAATGACTTTAGCTAAATATGCTTTATCTCTGCATGGTTCCTTTTCTTTGGTATGGGGGGCTCCCACCTCATATCATACAGGATGTGCTTGTGAGTGATCTCATGTAAGTGCTTTTCTTTGGTTAATGAGATCGTCTTTCTTTATATATAAAAAAACATAATATTTACCAACTAATACATGTTAATTAAAGAAAAATATCAAATTAATACATGTTAATTGATGGGCTTACCAACTACAGACAAGCAAGAAGTTTTAACTTGATAAAACAAGCAACATTAAGAGTAAACGCAAAGAGGTGCCTCAGGCTTGAAGTCACAGGCTCTATACATATCCAAGCAGCACAAGTGGTAAAGTAATTATGAAGAGCAAAGAAAATAGCCATTTTTGTCGTGCAAGTATGTATAAATTCCATCTCCATCTTATACTATATGACTTGGGAAGACATCATCTAAGATGTTTTAAACATGGTTGACACTTGACAAGTTGACATAATGCCACGTCCATCGAGGAAATGCACTAGTAGTAAAAAAGTTTACATAAATTTTTAGATACGCCTTCATTGTTAGAGAAAAACTTCGTTTTATATTACTATTTTGTTATTTTTGGTCAATAATACTATAACATGCGTGATAATATTTTCATATAACATAACATTATTGATTAAAAATAACAAAACCGTGGCGAACAAAATTCTTCTTCAACTACTGACATACAAACACAATCCAGCATTTCTCAAAGTTCAAGATATGCTTTTTACGTCACAGAAAAAGCAAAGGTAGCGCAATCAAACTATTGCATGCATTTTCTTGAAGGAAAAAAAAACTATTGCATGCATATTTTAATAAATTAATAAATAAATAAGACTACCTCAAAATACTAATTTATATTCACCTCTTTCAACTCACAAGTCGCCATCAAATTTTTTACCTTCTCCACTTCGAGTAATTTATGGTTTGAATAGTTAACAACGACGCATGCAATAGTTTGATTGGACTAGCTCAGAGTACAAGGACAAAGAAGTGGCAAAAGCTCGCTCGTGATTAAAAACGTTTACAATAGTATTTGAGATTTTTTATAAATGAGATTAACTATTATACCTAATTAGGATTCAAATTATAAAAAATCGTACATGAAATAGACTTTAGAAACACCCAAAACTCATTTATAACATAACAAAGATATTTCAAACTTCCTATAAATTACAAAACTATTATCGATTTCTTAAAACAAACTCAACTCCAAAACCTTATAAAAATCACCTAAAACACTCAAAAAGGCATCAAAGTAATTTAATAATCAAAATTAAATTCAATAGATACAGCTATTATTTTTTGGATTTTTTTGTGTTTAAATTGTAAGTTTATCTATATCACTAATGCTAATAATGGGTATATATAACTAAATATCTCTTTAGGTACCCAAACAAAGACAAACAAATCCACCAAGAATTCAAGTATTAAAATACAACCTCCACTCATAACTACAAGAAAAACTTCATCATCATCACGGCATCACCAAACAAAAAGACTTCATCATCCCGAATAAACTTATCTTATTCTTATCTCTCTTCTCTTGCGACGAGACAAAACAATGGAGAGGTGCACCCATTGCAACCAAAATTTTATCCATATGTCAATTAGTTATATGATTCATCCATTATGGTAAAAGGCTAAGAGCAAGTCCACCCTTGCTTCAAAACCGGGCAAAAGACAGCCCAGGGGTGAAGGAAGCAGCTCCAGCGCGCAAGGGCCAGCCCTGGCAAGAGCTGGGTCCCACGAGCCCAGGCAAGCCCACGGGCAAATTCAGCCCGAGCTGCTGCCAGGGCAAACTGATGCAATACTGACGTCATAATGACGTCAGCAACCAAAAAAAACAAAATAGAAAAAAAAGGGAAAAAAAAACCAAAAAATCCAGAATTTTTTTAAATAAATACCTAGGCATATTCTTTACTTCCCACACCAAAAACTATATACAAATTCATCTCCTCATATCTCATATGAATAGTATTTGCCTTAGACTTAGCCCTTGTGGGTGGAAGTGTTCTAAAAGACTGAATAATAATTTTAGAGATTGCAAGGAAAATAACATAAAAGCGTAATTGCAGCTGAATTGAGGGCCACGGTACATAATTGTGGCAAAGTCATTGTCCAATTTGACAATGACACTGTTTTCTCTAAACGAGGCATGCTAGTGACACCATAGTCAATTCAAATCTAGAATTGTGAAAGTTGATATTTTATTTCATTTGATGGCGTCGTTTTGGTTTCCTTTCAGGATCTAGCGGGGCCTGTTTGTTTTGATTTTCCTTCCTTTCATCTTTTTGATGCAATAAAGTTTCCCTATCATTCAATATCTACATAGTTTGATAATAATGTATCAATTAAATTACATTATCAATAACAATGATTAAGATGAAACTCGTAAACATTCTCTGTTAAGGAAGTTGAGATTTCATACCAAAACTCAGACTAGATCCCTTATCTTTTTAATATAGGACAAACACTCTCAACACTTTGCACTGTATTACGAGAGATGAATAACTTCCCCACAACGGACTTATACAGTATTCCTTATCTTGACAATTTACATGCCAGTTCATTTTTGTTTTGCTTAGATTAAACGAACAACCATTTATGAAATACCCGTGAACGTGACTTTAAAGCAAGGACTTGACAAATTGACGCTTGGCTACATGGGACATTAAGTCTAAAGGAACATGAATTTGTAGAAATGGCAGATCAAAGATGTTGAATCTGAATTGGTCCACACTCCACACTCTCCACATGCTTGAAGCATTGTACAAGGCAAGCACCAGCCTCCCATATATAACTCTTTTTCCACAAAACCCATAATTAAAATGGAGACCAAATTGACCCAAAATCAATTTAATCATCCCAACACCGCATGACGTTTGCATTAGCTCATATGAGCTTTTCATGCTACTATAAAGCATACACAAACACTAAGCCACTTCCCCAACACAAACCACACTAAGCCAATTCCCTAAACAAAGGTAACCAGCATCATGCTTCTTCCAATTCCAAACCTTCCAATTTTCCCACTCTTTCTTTTTCTTCTGATATCAACTTCATTTACACAACCTCTACCTTCAGTACAAGACAATTTCATCAAATGCCTCTCAGAAAATTCTGAGATTTTAATCCCATTCTCCACAGCCTTAATCACCCCAAAGAACTCTACATTCATCCCTACCCTACAATCTACAGCACAGAATCTTAGGTACTTGGTCCCTTCAGTGCCAAAGCCTGAGTTCATTTTCACACCATTGCATGATTCTCATGTCCAAGCTGCTGTCATTTGCTCAAAGCAGCTTGGAATACATCTCAGGGTCAGAAGTGGAGGGCATGATTATGAGGCCCTCTCTTATGTGTCCCAAACTGAAACACCTTTCATTGTTGTAGACCTTGCCAAACTTCGATCGGTCATCGTCGATATTGAAGACAACAGCTCATGGGTTCAAGCTGGTGCCTCCATAGGTGAAGTTTACTACAGAATTGCAGAGAAGAGCAAAACGCATGGCTTCCCTGCTGGGCTTTGTACAAGCTTGGGTGTGGGAGGGCACATAACTGGTGGTGCATATGGTAGCATGATGAGAAAATATGGCCTTGGTGCTGATAATGTCATCGATGCTCGAATCATTGATGTTACTGGCAGAATTCTTGACAGGGCAGCCATGGGAGAAGACCTGTTTTGGGCAATCAGAGGAGGTGGAGGAGCGAGCTTTGGCATCATCCTTTGGTGGAAGATAAAGCTGGTTCCTGTTCCATCAACGGTGACAGTTTTTACGGTTGCTAAGACCTTGGAAACAGGTGCAACAAAGGTCCTGCATAAATGGCAACAAGTAGCTGCTACTGAGCTTGATGAAGATCTCTTCATTAGGGTCGTCATACAATCATCAAAAGACAGCAAAACTGGCACTAAAACTATCACCACTCTTTACCAAGCCCAATTTCTTGGTGATGCTGACAGATTGCTTGATGTTGTGAAAGCAAAATTCCCTGAATTGGGTTTGACAAAAAAGGATTGCACAGAAACAAGTTGGCTCAAAGCTGTGATGTACATAGCAGGGTACCCAAGTGGAACTCCACCTGAGGTTTTGCTTCAAGGAAAATCAACATTCAAGAACTATTTCAAAGCAAAATCAGATTTTGTCAAAGATCCAATTCCTGAAACTGGGCTTGAGGGGCTTTGGAAAAGGCTGATGGAGGAAGAGAGTCCTCTGTTGATTTTCAATCCATATGGGGGACAGATGAGCAGAATTTCAGAGTCTGAAATTCCCTTCCCTCACAGAAATGGAATTCTCTTTAAAATTCAGTACTTGACTACATGGCAAGATCCCCATGAAGATGAGGCAAAGCACATGGATTGGATTAGGAAGCTTTACAATTACATGGCTCCTTATGCCACAATGTTCCCAAGGCAAGCATATGTGAATTATAGGGATCTTGATTTGGGGGTTAACAAGAAGAGCAACATAAGCTTCATTGAAGCAAGTGCTTGGGGTAACAGGTATTTCAAGGACAACTTTAACAGATTGATAAAGATCAAGACCAAAGTCGATCCAGATAACTTCTTCAGGCATGAACAGAGCATCCCTCCTCTTCCACTCCCTAAAAGTTCTAGAACTGGTCATCGTCAACATAGTCTATAGAAGAAGAGCCAAGAGCAAGATATGATGCTTGCTGCATGGTAAGTAATGCTTTTATTGGTTTGATCAGTGTGCTTTGTTTAAGAGAATGTTTAGTCTCAACATTCAAACTGTTGTAGAAAAGTGGTGTAATGTAACCAATGTGGGCACTGCAATAATGTTTTCTTTTTTGGGTCTGCAATAATGTAACCCTTATTGTAGAAGATACCTTTTATTATTATAATTTATCCAATATTCCTTTATTTTTATTTGCAGTAATGGATTCTGATTTACTACATCTTTACTTAATTAGAATAGGTATGGGAACGTTATTCAATGTATTTACTAATACATACGGAATCAAGCACATCAAATATGTAATTCAATACCCAAAAAACTACAAATTACATCTTCTAATTAATTTCATACCCGTTCATTTTCCTCTATTCGTTGCACAGCCCAAATCCAACTTTTTTTGCAAATACTGTAAAAAGTCTCAAGTTCAAATCTCCATCTTCAATTAATTAAAAAGTAATAACTAATAATCAAACTTTAATTGTGGAGTTCAAGTCAAATAGTAGGATGAAAGAATTTGAGATTTCATTTGCCATATAAAAATGTGTTTGATTTTATTTGTGGGAATTTGTTTGATGCATCCAGTGATTCGTATTTTGTTGCGATTGTGTCTAGTAGGATGCTAGACTGTCTACGTACCATTGACGGGATCAAACCAACGTAATTCCAAAATTTTGGTTTTATTTGCATGGTTTTATACTACTTGGGCCTTTTGACGTGGTTTTGTACTACTTGAGCTTCAATTTGATGATTTGAGAATTAATGGGCCTTTATTAATCCATAATTTGCGGACTTGAGACTTTATATCAATTGTTTGCCAACTGGATTTTAATGGACAAGTCCATTTTGAGCATGAGACTTATTATAAACGAGCCCATTGTACATTAGACTGCCAAATCTTAAAATATTACAGTGCCAGCCCTAATTAATTTTCGATTAGGGCCTTACCCTATTTATTTATTTAGTATTTATGTTTTCATTGAACTCTTTTGCATGTGCAACAACAGCAAAACGAGGCCTTCTTAAATTGAGTGCTTTCGGGAATTTGCTTCCAACCAACACATCCCCATAGACTTGGATGTTGAATACATCTTGGAAGCATTTGATCAGAGTTGCCTGTTGGAAAACATTACCCTGACTTTGTTTATAACGACAGAAGTCATCATGGCCAGGAACTCTTGGGTTAATCGAAACCTGGAGCCTTGAGCAAACAAGAAAACCGTGCCGTAGAACCATGATTAAGAAGGTGCCTTGCCGTGGGCCATATTTAGAGCTTTGAGATTCCTTTGTTTATAGAGAAAGCAACATGTTGGTGAATTATTATTGCTATCATTCACTTTTAACAAGATTTCCACACAACCACCCCTTTTTCTTTTAACTCGTACTTTATTTATTTATTTTTGAGTGAATATTATCACTTCAACAAAAACCCCACAAAATTGATTTTGTAAGGTAACAGAAAGAACATGAAGTATCTTTCAGATTCTTCCTGCTGGTAACAAACTTTGATTCTTTAGGTATGCATAAAATTGAGCTGAATCATGGACCTTTTTATAGTCTACACAACAAACAACTTGTTATGCTTATGCAGCCTGAATTACCTAAACTTAAATATGGAAAATATGTTACACAATATTTGATGTGGCTTGAAAATCAAATAAATAGTATGTGGGAAAGTAAAACACAAAACATAGTTTTAGCTCAAGAGCCATCGAATGAGTGTGATATGATGGATGTCCTTCAAATTTTCATATGAATTTTTTTTTAAACGATTTGAATGACTAAAATGAAACTCGAGTATACGTTCAAGAATCATTGCGATTAAAAACACTGAAAATTCAAACATAAATTTCCCGCAAGACTTAACAATGCTTCCCGAGGAGTTTCGGAGCAAAGAAGGTCAACCTGAAAAAGACAATGCTTGCGCAGACCATACAGCCACCGGAATAGCTAAGCCAACTTTTCTAAAAGCACAAGTTTTGGTTGTGATTTTCACACTCATTTTTCAACTTCTGCACTCAACTCTTGAATGCATGAAAAGTGTAAAGTATTTTGTTTGGAGTGCAGCTAGCTAAACAAGAAGTAAGAATAATCAAATGTGAACCTGTAAATATAAAAAATAACTTGTGCATATGCAGACAGAGAAAGCAGTTAATCAACATGTTAACTGGTAGAGAACAAGAAGGAAAAGCTGCTAGAGAAAATACCAAAAGCAGACATACAAAACAGGGCCACTACAAACAAGTTGACAGCCATACAAAATTAAGAGGAGTATGCTTCAGATTCTTTCAGATGCATTAATATATCAAACTTGGCTCTTCATGCCTGTAGCACTAGTACTGAGGCATAACTTTAGCTGATTTATAGATGCACCTTTTTATGAGTATATGGTATAGATGGTTGGTAAACATTAGGGGTGGGCTGAAAAACACTGGTGAACTGATGCAGTCGACCGAACTGGCCGGTTTGGCTCGATTATTATAGGTCAAAAGTCTAGATTTGGCCGAACCCATATGCGTCCAACCCTAGTGGAAATTAGCCTAAATTGTCGGCAGATTTGACAGAAAATGAAATAACAAGGAATGCATCTATTGGCTCTTACTCCAACAATTGGGTTCAATGGTACCTTCGCTTAATCAATGAATCGTTGATTTTATTGAAGAAAACCCTCAAAAGTCAAAACATTATAGCTAGTGGCGTTTCATCATTTGACTATAGTACTTGTTAGATGAATATCAATACCAAAAAAGCATTTTTTAAAAGCAAAATCAGATTTTTTTTCTCTTCTTTTTTTCTAACAGAACCCGTGGAGGGGTTCAAAAGCTGGAAAATGAGGCAGGCCTAATCACTTGGGATCCTTAGTGGAAGACTGTGTCAGTCAAATATATCAGAGTCTATAATTCCATTTTCACATGGAAGTGGAGTCTCTTACACCAGTGAACATACACAAAGCAGAAAGAAGAAGTGAAAGCTTTGACTGACAGAAGCGTATGGTAGGCGTCCATTCCACAAAATACAGAACTCACAGTGGAGGGCATTGACCAGAATGATCCCAACACCATATTTTCAGAAAATAAGTGGACAGAAAAAGCTTAAACTACTAAAAACGGGCCAACAAATCAGTCAGGCAAATGAGTACATAAAGAACCTTAGAGCATCATCCAATCAACCGATATGTCAAATTGCCACATGGATATGAAATAACAAAAATTAAAGGTTAAAGTTGCTCCAACCGAGTAGTCAAATCATACTTGAATTTGAAGGCAAGAAGAGATATGTCAAAACTAACATATCAAAAAACTTGATGTCAAATATTTTTTTAATATTTTTTTTAGTCATGAACCCCACTATTATTTACTCACTTTTAAAACTTTATGCATTGTATGGGTCCCATTTGCTTTTAAAAATATAATAAAATAATATGATATTTGACATTTTGGGTGGAGTTAAATTTTTTCCAAAGTGTCAAATTGTTACATAAGTCATCAAATTCAAATTTAACATTTTGCATTTGACATCTCCCTTAGAGATGCTCTTATATAGTTGCAGCCACACTATGCAGCATGTAAACTAACTTGATAGATCATTTTACACAACTTTTAGATCCCAAAATTTTAAATTAATTAGAAATGGATCTACAACGTTTATCAAACGTGCACACGTGACGTTTGCATTAGGTAAAATACACGTTGGCGTTGGTGAAAGACCTTCATACTTCTATAAAGCAATGCAAGACACTAAGCTAAATCCTCAACACCATTCAAGATACTTGAAAACAAGGCAGCATGATGCTTCCGAACTTTTCAGTTTCTTCATTGGTTTTTTTCCTTCTGATATCAGCTTCATGGGCACATGCTCGGACTCCACCTTCAACACAAGACAATTTAATCAAATGCCTCTCAAAATATTCTCAGACTTCCGTTCCATTCTCCCAAGCCTTTTTCACTCCAAATACGTCTACATTCACTACTGTCCTCGAATCTACTGCACAAAACCTCAGGTATTTGGTACCTTCAATGCCTAAGCCGGAGTTTATTTTCACACCAGTGCATGATTCTCATGTCCAAGCTGCTGTTATTTGCTCAAAAAAGCTTCAAATACACCTCAGGGTCAGAAGTGGAGGCCATGATTATGAAGGCCTCTCTTATGTATCCCAGATTGAAACACCTTTCATTATTGTAGACCTTGCCAAGCTTCGGTCAGTCAATGTTGATATCAAAAACAACGCCGCATGGATTCAAGCTGGTGCCACCATTGGTGAGGTTTACTACAGAATTGCAGAGAAAAGCAAAACTCATGGTTTTCCTGCCGGGCTCTGCACGAGTCTAGGTGTTGGCGGACATATAACTGGAGGTGCATATGGTTCCATGATGAGGAAATATGGCCTTGCTGCTGATAACGCCATTGATGCTCGAATTGTTGACGTCAAAGGGAAAATCCTTGATCGGAAGGCAATGGGAGAGGACCTGTTTTGGGCCATCAGAGGAGGTGGAGGAGCAAGCTTTGGAATCATCCTTTGGTGGAAGATAAAGCTGGTTCCTGTTCCAGCAACTGTGACAGTTTTTGCAGTTGCTAAGACCTTGGAAACAGGTGCCACAAAGCTCCTCCATAGATGGCAACAAGTAGCTCCAGTAATTGATGAGGATCTGTTTATCAGAGTTTTCATACAATTAGCAAATGGCACCAAAACTGGCACTAAAACAGTCACAACTGTTTACCAGGCCCTATTTCTTGGAGGTGCTGATAGATTAGTTCGTGTCATACAGAAAAGCTTCCCTGAATTGGGCGTGACAAGAAAAGATTGTACTGAAACAAGTTGGATCAAGTCTGTGCTGTTCATAGCAGGGTACCCAAGTGGAACTCCAACTGAGGTTTTGCTTCAAGGAAAATCCACAGGCAAGAACTACTTCAAAGCCAAATCTGACTTTGTCCAGAACCCAATTCCAGAAACTGGGCTTCAGGGGCTATGGAAGAGGTTGCTGAAAGAAGCCTCTCCTCTGATGCTTTTGACCCCTTATGGTGGAATGATGAGCAAGATTTCAGAGTCTGCAATACCTTTTCCCCACAGAGGGGTGCTGTTTAAAATTCAGTACCTGAGTGGATGGCAAGAGGGAGATAAAACTGAGGCAAAGCACATGAATTGGATCAGGAAGCTTTACAGTTACATGGCCCCTTATGTTACAATGTCTCCAAGGCAAGCATATGTGAATTATAAGGATCTTGATTTGGGGATTAACAAGAAGAGCAACACAAGCTTTATTGAAGCGAGTTCTTGGGGTTACAGGTATTTCAAGGACAACTTTAACAGATTGGTAAAAATTAAGACCAAAGTTGATCCTAATAACTTCTTCAGGCATGAACAGAGCATCCCACCTCTTCCAAAAAGAGGACATCACTAGGGAGCCAGAAGCTAGACATGGTATGGATTTGAATGGTTTGATCAGTGTGTTTTGTTCATCAAATTTTTATACAGACTCGAATAAATTTGTCATAAAAGTCTCTTGGAGACTTGGTGAGACATTCTACTTCTGTAGAAAAGTAATGTAATCAAATTCATTTCAATGGCTCAGCCCAACTTTTGCTCTAACTTTGTCATCTCCAGTCCCAATCCGCCTAGATAAATGATAATGTTTTGGTCAGACTATGCCAAAGAGAACTTACACTTCCTATACTCACCACTTGTGCATCCATAAGCTCAACACTAGTGCTTAAAAAAAAAGGTTTCGCTTATTGGTTTAAAAAGTTGTAACGGAAGTTAAACTTTTGTTTTAGTTTTCCTTTGCACAACTTGCTTACTGATCATTGATTGTTATTCAAGAAAACGCTCAAGTAGAAATTTTTCTAACTGATACCATTGATGAGGAGATTTTGGATTTTTCAGTTTCAAATGCTTTAATTTCCTTTCAGTTACAAAATCTCAGTAGATGTTAACAGAGAAATTGAAGCATGAAAACCCCCAGCTAATGGAAGCAATTGGAGTGGAAGCAAAAATGGCTCACCTTCTAACCTATGCAATAGTTTCTCTCTTCTTCTCAGTTTCCTCTGCAGTATTTGACCTCATCCCTGAACACAACTTTGTTACTTGCGTTGCCAACCAGTCTCCACAATACTCAGCCACCATAAGCAAATTGGTGTACAGCCCTCATTCCCCTTCATTTTCATTTATTTTTCAGTCCTCTATACAAAACTTCAGGTTCAACAGCACCAAATATCATAAGCTTCAATACATCATTACACCGTATAGCGCTGATCACGTCAAAGCTGCAATCATTTGTAGCAAAGTACATGGCCTGCAAGTCAGGATGCGAAGCGGTGGTCACGACTATGAGGGGCTCTCATATAATTCATATGTCCCCTTTATCATCATTGATCTTGTCAACCTTAATAATGTGAGAGTTGACAGCAACAATGGCACTGCGTGGGTTCAAGCTGGTGCCACAGTTGGTGAGCTTTACTATCATGTTGCCAATCAGAGCAAAGGCCATGGCTTCCCAGCTGGTGTTTGCCCTAGTATGGGGGCTGGGGGACATATCAGTGGTGGTGGACAAGGTACATTGATGAGAAAATTTGGCCTTGCAGCTGATAATGTTGTAGATGCAATTGTGGTTACTGCTGATGGAAATATTCTTGACAGGCAAGGAATGGGTGAGGATTTCTTTTGGGCCATTAGAGGAGGTGGAGGAGGAAACTTTGGAGTTGTAGTTGAATGGAAGATCAATTTGGTTCCAGTTCCTCCTAAGGTGACAGTTTTCAACATCCCAAGAACCCTTGAACAAAATGCAACCAAATTGATTCACAGGTGGCAACAGATTGCTCACAAGTTTCATGAAGATCTATTCATAAGAATCATTATATTTGTAGGCAAGGATTCTAAGGGTGGAAAAACAATCCAGGCCAATTTCAATTCATTGTTTCTTGGAACCAGTGATCAACTAGTCCCACTGATGACAAAAAGCTTTCCTGAGTTGGGCTTGAAGCCTGAGGACTGCAAGGAAATAAGTTGGATCCAGTCCACTATTTACAGTAATGGTGAAAACCCAGGACAGCCCTTGGAGGTTTTGTTAGACAGAAACCGTGTTCAAAAGGGCTTCTTCAAAGGCAAATCAGATTTTGTGACTGAACCCATTTCAGAAACAAACTTAGAAGCCATATGGGAGGTAATGCTAGAAGGTGAGGCTGGTGTTATGGTTTGGGATCCTTATGGTGGAAAAATGAGTGAGATTTCAGAATCTTCAATTCCATTTCCACATAGAACTGGAGTTTTACACAACATACAATACTTCAGCAAATGGCAAGAGGGGGGATACTTGGCTGAGCAGAGGCATTTGAAGTGGATCAACAGACTTTACAACTTCATGGCTCCATTTGTGACTAAAAACCCTAGGACTGCATACGTCAACTACAGGGATTTGGACATTGGGAGAAATATCCACGGAATATTTTCGGAAGCCAAGGTTTGGGGTGAAAAGTACTTCAAGGGAAATTTTGATCAATTGGCTCATATAAAGGGTATGGTTGATTATGGAAACTTCTTCAAGAATGAGCAAAGTATTGCACCAAACTTTTATCTTTGAGGAAATATTTTGGTTGAAGTTAGAATCAAATGGTGATTGGGACTATATAAAACTCCAATTTTCTGTTACAAAAGCGAAAAAGAATGTTTTTTTCCTATTAATATTTTGCTTTTGTCATCCCATAAACAATGTAATAACAATGTGTTTGTCCTCAAAGGTATGTTTTATATGTTGATCCTAGAATGCTACATGAAAAGAGAGAGCCTGTGCATTAAACTTTGTTGATGTAGGGGAGCTTTGTAAGGTGGCAAGTGGAATATGTAAATTGACACATTGCAACCATGCAAGACTCAGCTCTGGACAGATTACACATTGCACTCAGGTCTTGACACATTGCAACCATGCAAGATCCAAGTGGAATATGATGTTTAATATATGCAGCCAAACTCAAACTCAAACTCAAGCTCATCTAATCTAGAAGCCTGAACTCCTCATAGAGATGGCGTTAATTTCACTTATAGCTTCTTTGTTTTTGGTTTCAGTTTCACTGCCAACTTCTAGTTCAATCTGTGGTGAAATTTTCAGTCAGTGCATGATAGCTCAATCCAGTTACTACACAAGAATTTCTGATCAAATAATTCACACCTCAAATTCTTCTTTGTATTCAACAATCTTGCAATCTTCCCAACAAAATCCCAGATGGTTAAACTCCACATCAAAGCCTCTTCTCATTGTTACACCTCTCAAGGAATCTGAAATCCAAGTAGCTGTTCTTTGCAGCAGAAAACTTGGCTTACAAGTCAGAGTTAGAAGTGGAGGCCATGACTTCGAAGGCCTGTCTTACCTCTGCAAAACCCCATTTGTCCTCATTGACCTCATCAATCTGCGTTCTGTTGAGGTCAATGTTGCAGATCAAACAGCTTGGGTTCAGTCAGGAGCTACACTTGGCGAGCTTTATTATAGCATGCCAAGAAAAGTGAGGTCCTTGGATTTCAGCAGGTTTTTGTCCTACTGTTGGGATTGGTGGGCATTTCAGTGGAGGTGGGCTTGGTACCTTGATGAGGAAGCATGGCCTAGCAGCTGACAATGTCATAGATGCTCGCCTAATTGATGTCAATGGAAGAATCCTTGACAGAAGAACAATGGGTGAGGATCTGTTTTGGGCCATTAGAGGAGGTGGGGGATCAAGTTTTGGGATCATACTTTCATGGAAAATCAAATTGGTTCCGGTTCCAAAAATTGTGACTGTTTTTACAGTTCGTAAAACATTAGCAGAAGGTGCAAGCAAGCTTGTTCACAGGTGGCAATACATTGCAGACAAGTTTCATGAAGACCTTTTGCTCAGGATCATCATTGAAAATGTGGGGAGTGGGAAGGATAAAAAAGTCCAAGTATCTTTCAGCTCACTGTTTCTAGGAGGAATTGACAGACTAATGCCATTGATGGATCAGAGCTTTCCAGAGCTGGGATTGCAGGCAAAAGACTGCATTGAAATGAGTTGGATCCAATCTGTCCAGTGTTTTGCTGGCTTCCAAAAAGACCAGTCCCCAGAGGTCTTGCTGTACCCCCTCCGGAAGATCAACTTCAAGTCTAAATCGGACTATGTGAAGCAACCTATACCAGAGGTTGGTCTAAAAGGGATTTGGGAGAGGTTTCAGCAAGATCAAACAGTGTTCATGACAATGGATCCTTTTGGTGGAAAGATGAATGAGGTTTCAGAATTTGAAATTCCATTTCCCCACAGAAAGGGTAATTTGTACAACATACAATACATAGCGAAGTGGGATGTAAATAGTGTCGAGGAAACCAACAAGCATATACACTGGATAAGAATGCTTTATAGGTTTATGAGCCCTTATGTCTCTAGATCTCCAAGGGGTGCCTATATCAACTATAAGGATCTTGATTTGGGAAGCAACAAGCAAGACAACACAAGCTACTTGGAAGCAAGTGCTTGGGGCACAAAGTACTTCAAGGGTAATTTCAAGAGGCTGGCACAAGTGAAGAGCAAGGTTGATCCAGACAACTTCTTCAGAAATGAACAAAGCATTCCACCTCTTCCTGCTTCGTTTAGACCAAGACTTCTGTCTGTTTTGCTTTATATGCACGTTAAGTGCTTTTTCATATGCAGCTAGCAAGCCTAACAACTTCAGCAAAGAAAGCCTCTCATCATAGTTTTCGGCTTTTTAAATTTGAAGGATAACGTAGCTTTCAGCTTATCATATAGCCAGCATGTGACATAATCTAGTCACAAGAAAACGTTAACATTCGCCTTGTAATCAGCTGGTATTTGCTTTCATGCTACATATGACTATTGACACAGAGTCAACTTAAATCTCAAATTCCGAACTACAAAATTATTTTGAGAAACAAAATAGGATTGAAATAAGAATCTATTGCTAAATTTCAAACAAGAGATTTTTGTAGAAATGTAAGAGATTTTTGTAGAAATTTTACTTGAACTCATACATCAGTTTCAAATTTGTCACCTTAAAGAAAAATTTAAGAGAAATGTCACCATAATTTTTCATGATTTGTCATTTGACTTTAACACCATTTAATTTTCCATCCATTTAGTTTTTCCGTTTTCAATAGTATTTTAAAAATGGAAAAACCATTATATAAAAAATTGTATTTAAAAAATAATCTCACCTTCCCCATCATAGAGTGTAATCACCATAATACTAAACAGTAATTAACTCAATAATTTAACCCTATACTAGTTTTTTTTTCTTTTTTGAACATATTTTAAAAGGCTATTTTATAGGACGGGGCTAATTTAGCCCTCATTACTAGAGATGGCATTAGAACAGGCTAAAATATTTAACTAGTTTTGGTTGGTGTGTGCCAAGGCCACGCTGTAATGCAATACTTGGGCTACGCATTAAAACCCCAATAGCAAGCTACTGTGGGCCTCCCCATCTAAAAATATAATATCAAGTGGGCCGTGGCCCACATATCAAATATTATACTGATAAGAACAGATACTTTATTCTTCTTCTCTTCGGATAAAGATTATAAAAATAAAAATAAAAAGAATATTTCTATCATGAATTCTATTGAGATATCAAATCGAATTTAAATGTAAAAAGACGGATAATATTCGAATTTAAGTGTAAAGTGACGTAAACACATTGTGAACTTGAACTAATTAACGTAACATACATATGATGTACCAAGTGCTTGTTTTAAGTGTGTGATTAAAGAAGAGCCAGGTTATCTTAACTGATGCGGCATGCAGATCAACTGCAACATCACATTTGAATTTGTCAGCAGATATGACCTATTCAACACATGTTGATCCTAGAATGCTACAATAGAGCCAATGGAAGTTCCACAAGCAATGGCCATATGTTTTCTTCAAATTGCACCAAGTGGAACTTCATACCCATTAATTATAAGAATGTATTTAATTAACCCTCTATCTATCTATTAAACAAAAGGTTAGGAGACCGGGGGTCATGACACATTGTGGGTTACATCTGAAACAAGAAAACAGGTAGACTTTTAACTTCAGTTTGCCAATTGCCGATTGAAGTGAAAATGGACAAATTGGTTTTAATATGGTAGATGCTTGATCCACTCCATTGGAATTATCACTTTATTTTTTTATTTTTGTTTCTATATATGAAGATGAGCAGAAGTAAAAACAAGCCGAATTCAGAACTTCTACAAGTTAAAAGCAAAAATCACACCCCACCCAGAAAAAAGAGTATATATATGTAGCCATACAAGTTAAAAGACATTATAAAAGCAAATCTAGAAGCTTCAGCTCCTCATAGAGATGGAGTTAATTGCACTTTTAGCTTCTTTGTTTTTGGTCTCAGTTTCACTGCCAACTTCTAGTTCAACCAGTGGTCAAATTTTCAGCCAGTGCATGACAGTTCAATCCAGTAACTACACTAGAACTTCTGATCAAACCATTTACACCTCAAATTCCTCTTCGTATTCATCAATCTTGCAATCTTCCCAACAAAATCCCAGATGGTTAAACTCCACATCAAAGCCTCTTCTCATTGTTACACCTCTCAAGGAGTCTGAAATCCAAGCAGCTCTTCTTTGCAGCAGAAATCTTGGCTTACAAGTCAGGGTCAGAAGTGGAGGCCATGACTATGAAGGCCTGTCTTACCTCTGCAAAACCCCATTTGTCATCATTGACCTCATCAATCTTCGGTCTGTTAAGGTCAATGTTGCAGATCAAACAGCTTGGGTTCAGTCAGGAGCTACACTTGGTGAGCTTTACTATAGCATTGCCAAGAAAAGTGGAAGCCTTGGATTTCCAGCAGGGTTATGTCCTACTGTTGGAATTGGTGGGCACTTCAGTGGAGGTGGGTTTGGTACCTTGATGAGGAAGCATGGCCTAGCGGCTGACAATGTCATAGATGCTCGCCTAATTGACGTCAATGGAAGAATCCTCGACAGAAGAACAATGGGTGAGGATCTGTTTTGGGCCATTAGAGGAGGTGGGGGGTCAAGTTTTGGGATCATACTTTCATGGAAAATCAAATTGGTTCACGTTCCAAAAATTGTGACTGGTTTCACAGTTCGCAAAACATTGGCACAAGGTGCAAGCAAACTTGTTCACAGGTGGCAATACATTGCAGACAAGTTTCTTGAAGATCTTTTCATCAGGATCATCATTGAAATGTGGGGAGTGGGAAGGAGAAAAAAGTCCAAGTATCTTTCAACTCATTGTTTCTAGGAGGAATTGACAGACTAGTGCCATTGATGGATCAGAGCTTTCCAGAGCTGGGATTGCAGGCTAAAGACTGCATTGAAATGAGTTGGATCCAATCTGTCCAGTATTTTGCTGGCTTCCAAAAGAGACCAGTCCCCAGAGGTCTTGCTGTCTAGGGACCCCCTCTGGAAGAGCAATTTCAAGGCTAAATCTGACTATGTCAAGCAACCTATACCAGAGGTTGGTCTAAAAGGGATTTGGGAGAGGTTTCAGCAAGATCAAACAGTATTCGTGATAATGGATCCTTATGGTGGAAGGATGAATGAGATATCAGAATTTGAAATTCCATTTCCCCACAGAAAAGGTAATTTGTTCAACATACAATACATAGTGAAGTGGGATGTAAATAGTGTTGAGGAAACCAACAAGCATATACACTGGATAAGAATGCTTTATAGGTTCATGAGCCCTTATGTTTCTAGATCTCCGAGAGGTGCCTATATCAACTATAAGGATCTTGATTTGGGGAGCAACAAGCAAGAGAACACAAGCTACTTGGAAGCAAGTGCTTGGGGCACAAAGTACTTCAAGGGTAACTTCAAGAGGCTGGCACAAGTGAAGAGCAAGGTTGATCCAGACAACTTCTTCAGAAATGAACAAAGTATTCCACCTCTTCCTGCTTTGTTTAGAATTACAGAAGTTTAGACCCAGACTTCTGTCTGTTTTGATTTGTTTGTACATTAAGAGCTTTTTTATATGCAGCTAGCAAGCCTTAACAACTTCAGCAAGCAAAACCTCTCATCATAGTTTTCGGCATTTTTATTTGAAGGATAATGTAGCTTTCAGCTTATCATAAGCCAGCATGTGACATAAGCTAGTCACAAGAAACGTTAAACATTTGCCTTGTAAGAATCAGCTGGTATTTGCTTTCATGCTACATATGACTATCGACATTTTGCCTTCACCCTCCATCTCCATGACAGAAATGATAGTGCCAACTGTGTAACTTCATAACATGTAAATATAGAAATTACCGTTGTTTTCATTCTAACCATGCCTGTAAAATTACTCTTAAATTTTGCAATGGAACACTAAGAAGAAAATTGAAAATTACTCATTATAAAATGAACTTTAGACTTCAAATCCTGCTGCAGAAAAGCAGGACATATTCTTAGTGAAAGACAACAACTACGCAGGAGACATCATCATATCTTTCCCTAGATAATGCTTCTTCAATCAACTTCTCAGCTGCTTCCTGAGCATCATCTAATTCTCCAATGCAATCGTAAGCCTCTTGGTTTGACATCACCTGTACAGATAAAACTTTCAAGCTTTTGGAAGGACTAAATATGAAATACATTATCATTATTGAATCACGCTATGCTAAAATCTTTAAACAAACAAAAGCTTAAGCTGACCTTCCACAAGCCATCACTTGCCAAAATGATGAAATCTGTTTCATCGTCGATCTTCTTAACTTTTATATCTGGTTCTGAAGTTATGTGATCCTTCAGTTTTCCATCCCCAAATGCCCTTGTCATAGCTAGTTGGCCATCCACACGCGGAACAGTTCCTAAATTCATCATAAGATGTAAACACCAGAGAATAATATAACAGAATGTATCTGTTGAGATCATGCTAAGCATTTAAGTTCAATGATATGGGTTTTTCTCCACAATAAATTCCATATAAGTTCCTTAGTAGAAAAACATATTAAAATTTCCCGACGGCCTATACTCAATTTTTAACTATATGTTGTACAAGCGAATAGTTTCCAAGTGTACAAAAATGCTGAACAAGTACCTGGCCTTTCAATACAAAACCACCTCTGCTTTCAACAAGATCCTTCTCCTTCTCTGTCTCCGGGTTGTGATCCACAGTTATCTGTTTTGCTACACCATCTCTGCATAAAACTGCCCGAGAATCCCCGACATTCGGTACAATCAGTTTCTCTCCATTGATAGTATTGTTGTGACAGCTGTTGATCCTCCCTTGAACCAACTACCTTTTCCCAAAATCTCATCATTTGTAGCTTTATAAGCTCTCCTGACTGCTTGTTTTGGGTTTGTCCAAAAATCAGGCTATTCATTGCATTTTGAAAACAAGCAAATTCCCAGTTAAAAATGTAATGGAGATGATGAGCATAAATATTGTTAAAAAAATATAAATAAAAAATTGGCAGCAGTTAGAAAATGTTCATACCTCATTTAATATGTTATCAAACAGATGAGATTGCAAGTATTCTGCACTTCACGACCTGAATGTCCATCAAAAATTGCATATAAACCCAAGTCATATCCATTCACTTTCCGATTTCTGTCACATATAATCTTCCATTCCATGGTCCATTTTTCTCCCTGACCAAATGGAATCCATGGCTGACTTTTCCACTTGGAAGCTCCTTATCGTCATCATCTTCTGCATCTTCCCTACACAACCCATGTCCTGCTTTCTCCTAAAGCAAAATATGACATAATGTTGGATATTTCCATACATATTCCCATTGAATGGAGAAGCAACTTTACCTTACAACTAAGGAACATACGTTCATCTTGTTTAATTATATATCTGTTGGAGAAAGTCTTGTATTCTGCAGCAAGACATCATATTGTAAATATTATATTGATAGGGTTCATACACAGTTAATGCTGGCGGAAGATTCTGTACCTTTACTTCGTGGGATTCTTCACAAATTTTAAGCTTGGATTCCTCCTCTGCAAAAATCAAGATGAATGCATGCTCATGCACTGAAGAGTTTTAAGGGAAAGCTTTTCAGACTTGAACAAATCTAGCTAACATTAGGACATGAGAAGCCAACAAAAAATATGCATTGTACAACTAAACTGTTCTCTCTCATCCTGCCATATGTAGCCATGCATCAAATACAGAAAAAGTTATTGAAACTATTGGGATTGCTTGCCTTCATTTCGTTGGATCACTATTACTTGAAGAGCAGGTGACACATTTACTCAAAACGCAATTGCTTATGTTGTTTTTTTTTTTTTTTTTTTTTTTTTTTTTTTTTTTTTTTTTTTTTTTTTTTTTTTTTTTTTTTTTTTTTTTTTTTTTTTTTTTTTTTTTTTTTTTTTTTTTTTTTTTTTTTTTTTTTTTTTTTTTTTTTTTTTTTTTTTTTTTTTTTTTTTTTTTTTTTTTTTTTTTTTTTTTTTTTTTTTTTTTTTTTTTTTTTTTTTTTTTTTTTTTTTTTTTTTTTTTTTTTTTTTTTTTTTTTTTTTTTTTTTTTTTTTTTTTTTTTTTTTTTTTTTTTTTTTTTTTTTTTTTTTTTTTTTTTTTTTTTTTTTTTTTTTTTTTTTTTTTTTTTTTTTTTTTTTTTTTTTTTTTTTTTTTTTTTTTTTTTTTTTTTTTTTTTTTTTTTTTTTTTTTTTCTCTCTCGTACGACCTCAGCACATGAGATGGAACGGAGCCACGTAGGATCCGGTGGACGAGGGCACCAAAGTGACTTCACGCGATGACGTCTTAGAAACAGCCACGTGGACCCTCATCTATCCGTAGAAGACATGTCAATGCATGCATTCTTTATATAGTGGGGTCAATTATTGTGACTCGAGAGTCTTTATCACTAATCTGAAAAAGCTGTCTATTAAGAAAGTCTTAGTCAAGCCAGGCCACTTCGTCACCAATTTTAACAACCATATATTTTCAGTCTCATATTATCCAAAAAGGTTTCAACTTGGAATCTTTTCCCACTCGTTAATAAATAAAGACGACCTCAATTCAGACTTGACTCATGAAAAGCCTGCCTTGGAGGAGGTAACACCAGCAGGACATTGGAGTGGAAAATATTACATTAACGGAACTACCAGTCTAAACAGCAGCCAAATGCAGCTTTCAAATTCCATCTTCATGATCAACGACAATGCATGCATTCTTTCTAGTGGGTTAAGTATTATTATTCACACTTTTAGGAGTGAGCAGCTTTGGCCCGTGATTGTGACTCGAGTCTTCATCACCATTACTATTCTGAAAAAGCTGTATCTATCAAGGAAGTCTTGGTCAAGCGAAGCCATTTTATCTTGTGGTCCAATCACCATAATATTTTCTCTTTCAACAACCACCACCAAATATTTCCACATACTCACATATTAGGGAAATCTTACATTTTGTGGTTCTATGATCATATCAAAAGACATGTACAAATTGATTGATTGATCACTTATACTTAATAGCCAGTGGAGCAACTAGGCGTCGAGACTATACTTGATTTTGCACTGTCTCGAGGTTTTAAAATATTACGCATCCGTTTTGATAACCATTTCAGTTTCTATTTTTCATTTTTTTAAAATTGAAAATTGAAAACTTTGTTTTATAAGTAATTTCAATTTAAAATAAAATGAAAACTGGAAATAAAAGTTTTTTTGGTAAATGAGTTTAGTTTTATGGGGAACTCGAAAATGGAATTGTTTGGGGTCAAATTGTAAATTTGAGATTATAGAATGAAAGTGCATGTTACAAAGATTTTGTAGTATTTTTCGGTGATTTTTTTGGAAGTGGTGTGACGATATTTGATGAATTTTGGATATGAAGGTCTCAAGGCGTTGGACTGGGTTTGTGGGCGAAGCCAAGAATTGAGAGGTCAGGTCCAGTTAAGAGGTCATAAATACTGATTTTTTAAATATAAAACAACATAAAACGTGATTACTTTTTTTTTTTTTTTTTTTTTTTTTTTTTTTTTTTTTTTTTTTTTATGTAATGTAAAATTAAAATTAATTAAATGGAGCATATTAGAGCATCTTCGAAAGAATATAAAACGCGAAAAAGGCATGACGTATGCAAAAAAAAGTAGAGAACATGTTCGATAGCAACATGTTAGAACAACCACGTGGGCGCTCATCTATCCGTAGACTTCATGTCAGTGCATGCATTCTTTATAGGGAGTTTCACTAAAACATCCAAAATGGGGGTTGAAATTATAAAAAACCCAAGCACTATTTAAACATATAAACACACCCAAATCCATCATTACACACACTCAAAACTCATTATAAACATATCCAAAAAGTTGACTTTGGGGTTGATTTTGGGTGTGTTTCTATGTTTAAATAGTACTTGGGTTTTTTTATAAATACATGTCTAGAATTGGGTTTATTTATAAATTTGTATTCTTTATATAGTGCGGGTCAATTATTGTGTCTCGAGAGTCTTCATCACTAATATGAAAAAGCTGTCTATTAAGAGCATTTTCAGCAATGCAGGCTGGGCTCGGGCTCGGGGGGTTTTGGGTCTTGTAGTCGTTTCCAGTAATAAAATGGAGCACGGGCAAGAGGTGGGGGCCAGCAGCCTGGGCTGGCCCAAGGTGGGGTTTGGCCCGAGTGCTTGCCTGCGGGCTGAGCTGACGTGGCTGGCTCTGGGCTCTTCGATCTCCTTTTTTCCAGCAATCCAACGGCATCCAATTTTTTCCCAATAAAAAAATGAAAAAATTGAAAAAAATTACTTCTTCTTTTTTCTCTCTATACCTTATTTCCATTTTCAACATTTAAGTAAATGTCTTTGTCCTTTTACTTTTATTTATTTTTATATTACTTCATTTACTTAAGTTTACAATGTAAATAAGGAAGTACCTCCCCATTTGGATTCAAATAAAAATACTAGAAAATCAAATTCCCACCAAATCAAAATATGAAAAATCGGTTTTAGTGCAAAACACGATTTAGGCTAAAAATGATGGCTCATTAAGTCAATATACTTTATATTAAAATCCCATAAAATCAAGTTTTCTTATTTGATGTGTAAGGAATAAAAGCCGCCAAAATTTTCTTAAGAAAATGATTATTTCGAAAAACCATTTTTCATACTTAGTCAATATTGCACCTCCGCTAAAAATCTTGAGAAAATGATTTTTCATACGTAGGAACCCAAAAATCTTATCCGAAAATATTATCCAAATTAAAAAGTTAGTTAAAAGGAAAAAAAAAAAAAAAAAAAAAAAAAAAAAAAAATGGCAAGCCAACTGCTGGAAACACATTTTGCTAAGGGAGGGTAAGGCAGCCACTATTCACGTAAATAGTAGCTGCCCTAGGGCTCCCCTTACTATGGCAAGGGGCTAACTGGTGGAAGTGCTCTAAGAAAGTCTTAGTGAAGGATTTCAAGTTTAACAACCAAATATTTTCAGTCTCAGATGATCGAAAAAGGATTTCAAGTTTTTATTTTTTATTAAATAAATAAAAAAGATGGATGAGTGTTAATCATTATAGGTTAGTAAAGGCGTTTCCTATCTATAAATAGGCCAGGCTGTGCCTCATTTTCCTTAGGAAAACAATTAACACATAACATACAGTGCATACGTATACACACATGGCCTTTCAATATGGGATGCTTGTGCAACTTTCAATGTTGCTAGTACTTTTACTAGCGGCTACAAATGCTGTAGCAGCAGCAACAACAAGAATAAGCGCAAGAGAAGGAGGAGCAGACGATGGAAAAGCCGGCGGCTTGATGGCCAAGCATAACTGCACACCCAAATGTGGTAATATCGACATTCCATACCCATTTGGGATTGGCAGCGGTTGTTACTTCGGACCACGATTCGAAATCACCTGCGATCAATCCATGATGGGTCCACAGCAACCCGATTGATGAAAACCCGTATGCTTGTCGACAACATATCCCTTACGGAGGGTCATCTGCAAATAAGGCAGTTAGTAAACAGAGATTGTTATGATGCCCAAGGTAAGCCAATCGGCGAAGACCAAAGCAGCGGCGGGCTCAGTGTTATTCCTCCTTACACCATCTCTAGTGACAAAAACCGGTTCTTTGTGGTTGGTTGTGACACATACGCGCACTTTGTTGGTGGACGGGGCGAACAAAGCTACACAACCGGGTGCATCTCCGTATGTAAAAATAATCCGACTCAGTACGCAGACTCCTTTGATAAGAACGAGTCTTGCTCTGGCATGGGGTGTTGCAAAACGAATATTCCCCCTTTGCTGAACAACCTGACTCTGAAGGTGGCAAGCTATGAAAACCAACGGAAGTACATGACTTTAACCCCTGCGGGTATGCGTTCGTTGTGAAATGGACCAGTTCACATTCAGCAAGACAAGTTTTCATACCTCAATAAAACAACACCGGTTCCCCTGGTTCTTGATTGGCAAATTGGGGCCGAGTCGTGTGGATATGCAAGCAAAACAACAAGACTTTTGCATGCAAGGGAAAAAGTGACTGCCAAGACAAGCCTTCTTCAGGTTACATCTGCCTCGGCAATCCAGGCTTCCAAGGGAACCCATACCTCGAAGATAGTTGCGAAGGTATACCTAGTTAAATTGAAAATTCCATTATTACCATGGACAAAAAATTAATAATTTTTTTGTGCTTTTGGATATTTTTTTATCTTATCGATTTAAGCAAAAAGCTCAAAATAGGGTTATTCTTCTGGATGGGATCTGTGATAAATGAGTTTAACTATTTCTTTCAGATATTGATGAATGCAAAATTCAAACCCTTGTAAGAATGGGAAGTGCGAAAATAAAGAAGGAACTTACACTTGTGTCTGTGATAGTGGCTACAAAACCTGGACGACTTTACGTGCATCAAAGTTCCCTCTGCAAAACCCTTGAAAATTTCGCTGGGGTACGTATGAACTAGAGCTAGCTATTTACATATAAGCATGAATCCTATCTAAATATTTTATAGTACGTTTCATTTATGAAACACGTAGGCCATACAAACATATATTCAACACACCATCAGTATATGCATGGTTAATTATTCATGATTCTCAAACAAAATAGTACAAGTTTAAATTCAATGATAAATGAAATAGCTGATACTTAGAATTGAGAGAGAGAGAGAGAGAGAGAGAGAGAGAGAGAGAGAGAGAGAGAGGAGGAAAGGGAGAGAGAGAAAAAGGAAGGGAAAGGATGAAAAACTGAGAGAGAAACGAGATTTGGGCCCTTTTTTAATTTTTAATTTTATTCTCACATAGAGTTAACTAAGGTTAACGATGGGACATGTGTCACCCTTTAAGGGTAGTAGTGAACGTACAGTTTTGGTTAATGTAGTGATCAAAAAGGCTTCTAAAAATAACATAAATAATTAAATTACGAAAATCAACTTTGACTATATATGCTTTTCACTTTGTGCAGGTGTGTCATTGAGCTTCTGTGTTTTACTGGTTGCAACTTTTTGGAAATATAGGGAACGGAGGATACGCAATTTAGAGAAAGCCAAACGAGAATGCTTGAAAGCTAATGGTTTTCTAGTTTTACAGGAAACAATGGGTCGTTTTGGGGAAAACAGCCAGAATCTTTACTGAAAATGAAATTAAGGAGGCCACAGAGAATTATGATGGAAGTAAAAAGTTGGTGAGGGAAGGTATGGAATTGTTTACAGAGGAATACTAGAAGTTGGTGTAACAAAAGACTGGCATGCCATAAAGATGTCAAAAGTTAAGGTCCAAATTGACCAAAAGAAATTACCTCCCCAGTTGATGACCAAAAACAAAATACCGCCCGAACTGGTGACCTAAAACAATTACCCAGCAGCGATTTATTAAAGAGATGATTGCTCTTTCTCAAATCAGCCATAAAAATATTGTGAGATTCGTAGGTTGTTGCTTAGATACCCGCAAACCAATATTAGTTTATGAGTTCATGAGAAAAGGCAATTTTTATGAGCATATTTATGAAAAAGAAGGCAAAGAACCACTAGCATTGGCACGGCGGTTGAAGATAGCAGCCGATACGGCAGAAGCCCTAGCATTCTTGCACCACGACACTGGCAAGCAAATAATACACTGTGATGTGAAAACAGCTAATATACTATTAGATGAGATTGGACGGCAAAACTGTCCGGCTTTGGAGCTTCAAGATTGGGTCCTGAAGATGAGAATCAAATATCAACTTTAGTCCATGAAACGGTCGGGTACGAAGACCATGAAGACCTTGATTCAAAGTCAAACACCCTTACAGAAAAGCGCGACGTCTATAGCTTTGGAGTTGTGTGCTAGCGGAGCTGCTAACAGGCTTACAGCCAGAGACAAACCTAGCGAAAGTCTTTGTTGGCTTGTGGAAGGGGTACGTTGGATAAAAGTCTTGATGAAAAATAGTGGAGGGACATTTTAATATAGTCAGAGAAGCTGCTGATCTGGCAAAAATATGCTTGAAGCCAAAAGAGAGGAAAGGCCTTCCATGAAAGATGTAGCCAAAGAGCTAAACGAATTAGTGCGAGAGATGGAACAGCATCCAAGTGGAGGAGGAGAGGCTGATATACCTCCATCTCCCAAAGATACCGGCAACTTGGGTGGGTCATCTGCTTCAAGTGCTTCCGTTGGGGATACAATAACCAGTGCAGAGTGAGAGAGCAGCATGCAAATAACGCCTCTTGGTCTTGGAGATGGGCGATAATTAGTTGACTTGTTTGTTGTTCAATGTCATCAGCATATATAGATTAGTGGTGTATTGTGGCTTAATTATTAGCCATATATTATAAATTTGTTGTGTGCTTTTTCCTTGTTATTATCTGTTCAAAGTTGGTTTCCTATATTTAAGGATGTTATGAATCCAAAATTTTCTGGTGAAAAGCATGAATCATTCAACAAGTTAACATGATTAAATGAGGTTTAGGTGTGGAGAAATTGAGAATTAGGGAAGGGCACTATATGGGTGGAGAAAGCTTAATTTATACATGCGCAGAATAGACTTTATATTTATTTTTCTAGCTAGTGCATCATGATGTCATATATGATGATGAGATATTCACAGCTTTAGACCGGGATTGTGACTCGAGTCTTCATCACTAATAAAAACAAGATCGTTCATGATGATACTTTGTGTGAAATAGATTATATAGAAATTAGTGAAATACCCATTTTAGACATGAAACTATAAATATACTCTATACTATTTAAAGTATAGAAACACACTCAAAATAAACCCAAAAACTACAACTGTCGATTTTTTAAATTTAATAGCAATGTTGGATTATTGTTTTGCCCTTTTGCCCAAAATAAACCCAGCTCCGAGGCTCAATTAAGATAATCGACAATTGCTCATTCAAATCTTGGAGCTGGTCTGTGAGAAATTGACGACGAGGCCGATTTAACTAACCTCAACGTCGGAGCCGCAGCTCCAATTTTCATTGCTTTCTGGATCTCTCACTCTCGCTTTCTCACATATCTTGCAGCTATTTCCAGAGCATGCTTCATATTTTGCTCGATTTTTTAGATTTTTCAGTAACAAAGCATGCTTCATATTTTGCTCTATATATGTTGTGCACTTGAAGTTTATGATATGCAGAATGTGATTTTTACTAGGAAGATAGTTCTATGACATAGTATTAACAGTGTACTTCTATGACATAATATGGATATTTTACTAATTTTCTGTAATATTAACAAATTTTTCAGTAACAAAGCATGCTCCATATTTTGCTCTATATATAACTGTGCACTTGAAGTTTATAATATGCAGAATGTGATTTTTACTAGGAAGATAGTTCTATGACATGGTATTAACAGTGTACTTCTATGATATAATATGGATATTTTACTAATTTTTTGTAATATTAACAGATTTTTCAGTAACAAAGCATGCTCTATATTTTGCTCTATATATAACTGAGCACTTGAAGTTTATGATATGCAGAATGTGATTTTTAATAGGAAGATAGTTTTATGACATAGTATTAATAGTATACTTCTATGACATAGTAATTATACTTTTTTTTTTTTTTTTTTTTTTTTTTTTTTTGTTTGTGTTTTGTTGAAGTGTGTGTGTTTTCCTTGTTTTGATTTGTTTTGTTTTGTGTGTTAACAATGGACAATTAGAGGTGGTTTCTTGCACAGGATATATGATGTCTTGCTGTGTTTTTTTTGTATGAATGGTATTAACAATGTTTTTCTATGAAATTGTATTAACAATGTACTTCTATTACATGATATTAACAATGTACGTCTATGGCATGGTATTAACAATATACTTCTATGAAATGGTATTAACAATGTATTTCTATGATATGCAATATATAGGAAGTTCAACACTTATTTGTTATGTAGTAAAATGTTTTTTGGGTATGTTATAAGTGAATTCCATATTTTTGGGCTTTTTTATAAATTGGGTTGGGGTTATTTTTGTGCTTTTTGAGTTTTTTTTCTGTTAGGCTTGATAGTGGCAGTGATGTAATTTATTGGAACTTCAACACTAATTTGTTATTTAATAAATGAGCTTTGGGTGTGTTTATAAAGTGTTTTTCATGTGAGGTTTTTTTTATAATTTCAGCCCATATTTTGGGTATATTAGTGAAGTTATTTAGTCATACGCCCATTCTTAGCACTGAAATTATAAATAAACCATACTCTATTTAATTTCTATAAACACACCAAAAAAAACCCCAAAAATGAAAGCTGACCCTTTTGAACTTAATTTTGATTATTAAATTACTTTGATGCCCTATTGAGTGTTTTGGGCTTTTTCTATGAAGTTTTGGTTGGGTGTTTTCAAAAATCAATGGCAGCTTTGTAATTTAAAAGAAGTTAAAAGCCTTTTTGTTATGTTGTAAATGAGTTTGGGTGTGTTTTTAAGTCCTACACTCCACCTTTCACTTTCATATCATCATTATAGTTTTTTTTTTTTTTTTTTTTTTTTTTTTTTTTTTTTTTTTTAATTTAAAATTTTATATTAGGTATAATAGTGAATCTCCCATATTTAACCCCACAGTATAAAACAAAAAGACTATAGATCAATTGGAAATATCATCAGCTTTTAGATAAGCATGAATCAATTCCATCTCCAGCACTAATTTGGTCCAATCAAGATCATTGTGAACAAAGATTCTATGGATGGAGATATGACTGGCGTGATGCACGAGGTCATGTGTCACAATATTTGTAGTGATTTCTCCATTTATGTAGGAATGTTTTTTGTAAACATATGTGCAACTTAGGGCCATGCACCCCTGTTTAAGCAATTACGATCAATTAACACTTGACAAGAAAATTATGGGGAAATGAGGAAAAATAAGGGGATCTGATACTCTCCTTCGATTCTCTCACTATGATCTACTTGACTTCTTCCCTGCATATGCTATTTCATTAAAATTTAATCCAAGGGACTTTAAGTTGACACATCCATCTTTAAAACAAAACTCAGTTTCCCTCAATTTTTTATTTTTTTATTTATAAAAATCCCTAATTAAACTAACAAAAACTTAACACTGTGAAACTGAACTCTAACAATTAGTTTTTTTTTTTTTTTTTTTTTTTTTTTCTTTTTTCCTCCTCCTCCCTACCCTACTTTAAGTCTTCTTCTTGAATTTCTACTGTTTTACTCTTTTTTTTTCTTTTTTTTATATAGAATAATCTAAACTATAAGGGAAAATATGATTTTCTACACACTACCAATGTGTCGAGAGAATTTGAATATAATATTACTAATTGTAAGTTAAAGCCTTTTTTACTGATGTAGAGCCGTTGAGAACAAAGAAACCATTTTTGCAGCACTCCAAACAAATATACAAAGCAATATTAAATGGGCTCCAGCAAGTAAATAATAGTCTGCAACATTTTGCAACGCACTAATTTGTAATGATGTAGAGGACGCCCAATCATATGAGTGACTCAACAACCCAGCAGCATTAATAACTTTTCTCAACCCAGCAGCATTAATAAAAACTTGAATTGCCTGTTTTAACCCTTTTACCAACCCAGCAGCATTAATAACTTTTCTCTCTTCCTTTTCTCAACTGTCTTTTTTCTTATTTTACTAGCCCCTTGGCACTGCTCATGCTGTGTCATTGGTTTTCTTTTTTCCTTTTTATTTTATTTTTAAAATTAAAAAAAGATAATATTGGTAGTTATCTTCCATAAAAGTAGTGAGCTCTTATCTGATTTTATTTTTAATTTTAATATAACAATACGAATTTACCATATTATCCTCATTTAATTAATAATTTTAATTTTTAATGTTTGAATTAACCAAGGATATTTTATAGTATTTTGATGTTTCACAATTCTCTGCATTTTGCTTTATATCTTATTTTATAACATTATCTTCTTATTCTTTTTTTTTTTTTTTTTTTTTTTTTTTAATTCGAGATGAGATTTTTCTACAAGTGAAGTTACCATCCTCATAGATTGAATTGGCTCTTGGCTTGCTAGCACTTCCTTTATTCTTAATTCGTTCTACAATTGCCTCGGCTGACTGTTTTCCTTTCCTAAAGTTTCTAAGTAACCAAACACAGAATAAAAACCTAAGTGATGTATAAACTATATCAAGCTTTATGTTCATGGATTATAATTGAATTTGAGGCCTGTCATTATTGCAATGAACAAATTTGTTCTTGGATGTTCCATTGACTTAGTGACGACCTAGACAACATTATTGCAATGGACAAATTTGTACTAATGGAGCACTATGTGAATTATTTAACCCCACATATAAAAACAAAGGTAATCAATTGTGAAATAATATCATCATTTTTTAGATAAGCATTCTATCTCCAGTACTAATTGGTCCAATCAAAATCAATCGAACAAAGATTCTATCTATGGAGATATGATTGGCGTGATGCACGAGGTGTCGCAAAGTATTTATAGATTTTCTCCATTTATGCAAGAAAGCTCTTTGTAAACATACGTGTAACTTAGGTCCCGTTGGTTCACGAAATGAATTTGAGGAAAATCATTTTCCATGTCATTTTCAAGGAATGAGAAATGGAAGATTCATTTCCCGTGTTTAATAATGCTATGAAAGTAACCGGAAGATAGCACTTTATTTCATTTCTCATGTTTGTTTTGAGTATGAATGGAAAACTAAGTTTGTATAAATTTTCAATTATACCCATATAAATTAAATAAAAAAAAAGAATGCATTTAATGATATATTGTAATTCTAAATTGTTAATGGGGACAAAATGGTCATGACAAATGTGTATTTAATGTTTGTTCATTTCCCCCAAACTTTCCCATGATGAGGGACATAAAACCCAAGTTGGGAGGATAGCTTCACTTTTCCCTCTACTTTCTCATGAGCCAGGCAACGATTTCTCATGTCTGAACTTACCAAACATGGGAAAGTAATTGATTTCTCATCTCCAAGTCTCCTTTCCCATGAACCAAATAGGGCCTCTATGCACCATGGTTTTAAGCCATTAAGATCAATATATGTGCATTTGGTAACACTTGACAAGAAAATTATGGGGAAATGAGGAAAAATAATGGGGCTTGGCTTGGAAGATAGTGGTTAGAGAAATGGTGAGATTATATATAAAACAACATATGGACCAAGAAAAAATACTACTTAAATAGGTTTTAGTTTTAGTTTTAGTTTTAGTTTTATTTAATGTACCATAATTCTAGAGG